TTCGTTCCGCTGCTAACATAAACAGCGTCGTCGTTCCTTATTATTTTAAAGCGACATCCACCGAAGTAGGTGTTTTAACTCGCGCCCGAGTAAACGGGAAACATCCAGCCTCGAAAACACTTTGATTTTCAATCGTTCAGTCCCTCGTCGGAACGTGAACGAATTTCGAAGAAAGTTTCTCGGGACGAACGCTCTCAAGAACGCCAAGACAGAAGCTGGAAGAGAGAACAGAGAAAAAGTAGGTGAAGAACGAAGTGTGAGACCGGCGGTACTACTGGGCGACATCATAAAAGAAGGAGAGAGCGAATGAAGGCCGACTGGGGGATGCAAGAAAGAACGGACGGGACCCTCGAGCTTTGGCTGACGTCGCTTTACGTGCTGGCATAATGGCCCTTGTCTCCTCCGCAGGTCCGAGCTCTATTCAAGCCTGAGGCGACTCGCCAACCACCGTGCAACAGTGACGTGATTCTTAAATCTACTTAGGCGAGCCCAGTTTCTTTCTCAAACTCACTCCCGTTCTGTTTTGCGCGATGGGCGTCCATTGTGCTCGAGTTTTCCAATTCCCACCCTGTCGTAGCGGCCGACGGGTTAGATGGTGTTGTTGTTTCAAGCTTCGTCGGTAAGAGAAACCCAGGAAAAAAATGTACTTGACACCGCTCGAGACTAAAGTTGAACGGTGGCTTCGAGAATTCGACCTTGACGAATTGAAAAACAAAGGGAGGTGTAGTTCTTGCAACATGGAGTCTCTTGACTTTGCTCTCGATGCTGGATGGTTTGTTCGGGTGGTCCCTGGACCTACGAGGTTGTAGATAGTAGAGAGCCCCAGGAAGTCGCGAACAAACGCACCGCAGACGTCTTCTTCGTTTAATCGAGTTTCGTAGCCCTGTTGCACGCATCCCGGGATAGAGGTGAAGGAAGATTAACAGCCTCGAACAGGCGGTTGTTCAAGTATTCGCAGCCTCGAATCGCCTTTTGTTTTCTACTGTAACTACCACGTTTGTGCTCGTTAAACCAATTTGCTAGCTCGCGTGTAAATAATGAAGGGGGTGAATAGCGTTATCGTTAGGACAATATGATGCAAATCCGAGACTACGAACGCCGCCGCCTGGACATCGACGTTGTCGGACGATTATTGAATTGGATTGGTTGGCCAATATTTCACGGCGACGGGTGAATTAAATTTAGACGGTTCGAGCGTGGATTAGGATTCTGCCCGTTGGGAACTCGAGCTCCACCTGAGTTCCTTCCTGGTATATAGGGAGGAGGCGACATCCACGGAGGCCTAAAATAAGGATTACCGGGAGGATTTTCTTCGGATCTCCTCGCGATGGATAGCAGGCTTCTGGGAAGAATAATTTATTAGTGTTTGAAGAGTATGTGTTTTATGCGTGTATACTTATTAATCATTTAATTTTTGCTTTATTAGAGACGATAGAAACGTAATTTATTTAATTCTTTTTTTTACTGGGTTTAATTTTGTTCACGTATGTATAGAATAAACGTAACTTTTCCTACGTTATCATGACGAGTGTGACAGATACCATCAATCACATTCTTTTTATTTTCCAAACGGTCTTGCCATGTCTGAAAAATTCCAATATTTTTTCGTAAAGCGTTGTGGTTTCAAAAATATCGAAAATTTTTGTCGTCGTTACCCAGCCCGTAGCAATGCTCACACCGAATGCGAAATAACGCCATTGTTTTGCTTCGGATGAATCGAATTTAAAATGCGCGTGTTGTTCCATCGAGCCACTTGGATTCATATCTTTTTTTATCGATTTGATATTCCCAGTAGAATATTTTGCGTATCACAGAGACACGTTAAACGAATTCTTCTCCCTCGAGGCACTCTTACAACGCTCATTTGTCACCCAATTCGTTTACGAGCACGCACAAAGCGTCGCAAATGCGCGCCGGGGCGCAACTGCAATCGGATCGAAAGTATTCTCCTGTTCGTCCCTAGATCTCCGCTAACCTTTTCCTGTTCCATCTTCGTTGGCGCGCGACACGAAATCGAATCTGTTCCACGTTCGTTCGCTATTCCCGGCGTAATGAGATCCTCGGATTGCCGGCGTATCGTAAAGCCCCCGTTCGGCGCGGAGGAGGACTGTAAACGATGCTTCTTTCGCTGCGTATCGACGTCAGCGTGAAAAATTCAGTCGCGGAGTGGCTTCCTCGTGCAGGAAAGAGAAATGCGGGACTCGCGGCTGTGTATGTTCGAGAGAATTCGATAAATAGAAGGTCTCATATAGACGGTGCCGTTGCTCACGGACCGTGGATTATTTACGGGAAGTACACCTAGATAGATCTCGTAGAAATCACGACGATGGAATTTCTCGTTCCGAATACAATTATATTTTTGATCTGAAATTATTCTTAAGAAGAAGCGTTTGGAATTCCATTTAGTTTGGCGATTGTGCCTTCTTATTGAGACCCGATACCTAGTGAAACGATCTCTAGAAGGGAAGTTGCCCTCCATTATTCGACAACGGTGATCCTTCCGTGGGATGGTAGAGGCGTTCACCCGCGATGGGTCGCCCGATTTTCGTATTTCGGTGGACGTTCGTCGCACTTGCACGCCTCGAAAACGGTTATTCGGTGGCAATTCGCGCGAGGATACGAAGAACCTATCGTTTTTCAAGATCGCTTTCGTTTGCGATGTTATGAGAGTCGTGGACATCGACGCCTCATATCCCTGCGACCGAAAAAGGGTCGAGAGATTGAAAGATTGGCCTTTAGATATCCAGACGCGTATACCTTTCCATGAGTAGAGGTTTCAGGACGCGTTTTTCTTTATCCCTCTAGGATTTTAGTCTAGAAAAAAGTAGAAGAAGCACTTATCTCCTACGAAATACAACCTAATGTTATTTTGTGATTGTGTTCTTTCTACGAGTCTAATCCATACTTGTGGCAATCACAAGACTACTGTCTCTTTCTACGGAGTTACTAATTACGGATTATCTCAACTTACCAAATTACCTCATCTCTTTTAATAGTCCAAAAAGTGAGGAATAAAAAGAATTCTCAATACGATGAAGTTATCCCAGTTTCCTCGTTTCAAACCTTCCAACCTTATTCTTAATGAAAGTAATGAAATTCGAAGCCGACTTTAATTCAATTACACCTTCGGACTTCTTTGATGGGGCTTTGTTGAAGATAAAGGTTGGTAGCTTCCGCAACAAAAAGTTAGCGAAGTGAAACTTTGTCGATCCTGAAATCCTGTGTTTGATTAAAAAAATAAAATCCCAAGTATTCGTTGCCGTTTTTAAAAAGAATATATATATCGATAATTTATATTCCAATAGTTTCACGCGCCTTCAAATTCAGATATTCGCAGATATTCAAATTTCCACTATAGAGACACGTGCTGCCCTCTCTGGCTCTCTCTTCCAATTACCTGCTGGATTCTCAGTAGAGAGTGCCAACATGATCAGACGCGAGTGGACCAACCCGTACTCGGTCGGACACTTACCCAACACATCTCAGGGCTACTAAAAGCCACCCTTTCAATTTCTCCGTACAAGTTCATGGATCAGAATTATACCAAAGCGTCTGAAAACTGAAATTCCTGTTCGGTGAATATTCGCGATAAATGCGAACGTATCCCCAATTATTTCCGTCAACGCGACTCGCGTCCGGCAGCGCTCTTCAGTCGCGCACGAGGGCTCCTCGAAGCTCGTCATTACGTAATTAAGGACACCAGTGAAATCCGGGTCATTCGAGCGGAAAGATTTAAAGCGCGACAACTCGATGTCTCGTTCACGGATTCATTTCATTTCTTTCGGCTAATGCGTTTTCATCTGGCCAAAAGCTTCTCACCCTCCAGCCTAAGCGACGTGTATTTCGCCCCTTTCGAATATCAAAGCATCTGGCTGCTTTTATTTCAACCCCTTTGTACTTCCCCCTCCCTCTTTCTTGCTCTCTCTTTAGATTCACCGTTCCGTTCTCTCGCTCTCTATAGCCAGCGTCGTTTGCGATGCACAATCGAGCGGCAATATTATCGGCGTCGGTGCACAATTCTCGTTTCTGGCGACCGACTTAGCCGCCCGTGTGTTCGCGCAGGCGTCGTCCCCCCCACCCGGGGAACCTCGGCTCGATGACGTGTCTGTAGGGTAGTTCGGGGCGAGGGGCATCCCCAGCAAATCAATACGTATATGTCCGCCAGTAACCGGCCAGTAGGGGCTCATCCTTGGCGAGAACCGTATCGGGTAACCCGGTACCAACGAAAAAAACTTGAAGACATCTCGCTCTACACGATCGACCTAGCCGTGTCGCCCTGGGCGATAGTTTCACCAGTTCTCGCCGAAGGTGGAAATAAAACCACGGCGTGCGCGTCAACGTTCGTGTCCCTCCGTGCACGCGAATCGTGGAAGGATTCCGTCGAAGGTGCGAGCTGCCAGCGGTCCTCGGGGGTAACTGACCCTGTGCAACAGCGCGAACGTTCAGCGGTGGATCGGCGGGCAGCCGCTTCAGGAGAACGGTGACCTCGCCGCGAGAAGATCGATCCAGTCGGCAGAGACTACTCCTACCGTGAGATCCACCCTTCCTTCTCGTAACGTCGATGTCACCACGGCGATCCCTAGAAACGTGAACATCCCGAGGTGCGTCGAACGAAGGAGACCTCAGCCAAGGGTCCCGAGGCGTCGGGAACCTGCTGGCACGTCGACCGCCAACACCACCACCGCGAGATCCCGTTTGTTCCACTGGCGAGTGATCGTTCGCGCGTACATCCGGGAATCGGACAGGTGCTGAGTAACGTCCAGGTACCACGATCGTGTTACCAGGCTCGCGCAAGGCCGTCAGGCTATTGGGACGTCTGGTGGGAGCGCGTGACTGCTCGTTCCTCACGGATTTCCCGAACAACCCCCAAAACGGCAACCCGTCGTCGTCGTGGTGCTGCCGGGGCCCCGCCGTTAGCCGCGAGAGATCGCGAGAAGGGAGCTTGGCTGAGTCGGTCGACCGATCGGCCAGAGGATCGGCCTCCTCGTGCGCGACCGGCTCCACCGCCGCCACCTACGCCGCTTACTGGCGGCCCAGTGAAATGGAGGAGAAGTCCTCGGCTCGGTTCTCCGAGTACCTGTTCGCCAAGATGGACGGGCAGGACGTCTCGGCCTCTCAGGGTCCCCGTAAGGTGACCGCCGACACCAGGAAGTTCATGCGGGAAAATCTCCTGCTCGTGGTCACACTCTCCGGCGTTCTCTTTGGCGTGATACTCGGTGAGTACTCGCGACCTACCATTATTACGTTTAAAAGAATTTGAAGCTATGTTTCGCGTACCTCCTGTCTTGAAATATCCTATCTTCGATATCTATCGGTGCTTAGGGGTCGCTGCGATAGACCGTTGGGCGTAGAATTTTGACAAAGCGAGTTGATTCGTTGCTAGGTACTAATCGTCATCGCACGTGGCTCGTGAATCCCACGCATGATGCATAGATTCAACAGAAACCACACAAGTATCGCATGCAATCGGACAAATGCTATGCACAGAAAGTTCGAGACACGGGGGTGCGCATGTATTGCGCGTATACGCCAAAGATATCGCACGTACAACAAATAAACCACGCATGCCTAACATCTCATATGGATACTACGCATCCCACAGAAATACTACGCATGCCTGTTGTCCCACACGAATATCACACATTGCACGGAGGTTATTACGCATGCTACACATACCACATGGATATCAGACATTCCATAGAATACTATACATACCTAGAGCCCACATGAACATCACACAAACCGCATCAAACACACACGGTACGCGCTCGGTACACATGCACAAGAATTTCATCTGGGGATGCTATCGATGCATCGTCGTAATATGATTCTTTTGTCTATTAATTGAAACGATGGGAATTATTGCAAACGAAAAATTTCCTTAGCTGTTCCATTATTGGGAGTGTCATTCTTAAAATTTTTCTTGATTCTCATTCTCTTGATTCTCACGGCAGACTGCGTAATTTACAACGTTTCGAAAACCGTTCCATGCTCTATATAAATATCACAAAGATGGATATTACTCGTCTGTTATCTCTCGCATAAAATCTTTTATTCCAGATCTTTCTACCTACGCAAAATAATAGTTTTCAACTCGGCTATCAACTCTTTCAGCACGCGAATCCCTTTCCGCCATTTATATCTTCCACTCCATCAAATTCTCCGGTTCCTTATCGCGCGGTGCAGCTCTCGTTACAATCTCTTTTTCAGATAATATCCGTTCACTCCTCATTAGTCTTCCCTCCGAGCACAGGCTGACACGTTCATCCCGAATCATCCCTCTTTATTTCAACCCGCCTTTAGTTACACGCGTACATCTGTTCGGGGATCTTCGAGCAGGCCCTCGGCGCCTATGTAGGTTGGGCTTAATAACGGCGCAGCTGAGCTTCGCGTATTACACCACTCCACATACACCACGGAAGAAAAATACGTCGGGTAGAAATTTCAGAAATTTCAGACGAATATGTTCAGTCATTCACCTAACGTTGGATTTTGCACAATTAGGCACCCCTTCTTGTTAACCCTCAATCACAGTGACTCTAAAATCGTGAAGATCCATACTCTCAACCTTTGATTTAACCCTATTATCGACTCACTAATCGTGATCTTAAAACAATGCCATGGCCTATAAACCAGGGTGGACAGAAATGAAAATTCATGCCTGTAAAACTCTACCTACCACTTTATATTCGTTATCGGTGTCCACCGAACGTAAACTTGAGTTATAGGTGGCGAACACGCGAGAAAGGTTCAACGAAACGTAGCTGGAGCGTATGCCTCTGTGCTATACGTACCTCGCATTCCGCGATGAACATGTCAACATTCTCTAATCGAAATGCGACTGGCAGTGGCATGAAGGGATTTCACATCCTCAAGGGATGAACAGATCACCGATATGCCAAGTAAATGTCAATCGTGTGCGCAACGAGCATGAAAGGAGGGGAGCGTCGTCGTCTTTGGATGCCTAGGCGACACAGTTACCAGGCCATCGCGAGTTTCATTCCCTGGTTCCAAAGCTCCCTGTAAATGGGGACGTAAAAGATCGCGCGTTACGTGCTACGGGTAACGTGTTCGAATACTGCCAAAAGCACGCTACGCCTTCGTCCATTATTGGGGAAGCGTGCCAAGGTCGAGTTCATCCGCCACGAACCGATTTTACTTCTGCGAGACCATAGCAACGGCCTGAATCGATGGGCTATAGAACAGGCCTGTCCAACGCAAATACGCGCTCCGGCCAATGTTTGCGACAAAAAAACTTGCGGGGGCGCGACGTTATATCAAAGGGAGGAAAAAAATTGGCAAAGCTTTTGCAGAACGTTCCCCTGATCTCTGTGTCGATATCGCTCCAGGGGGGTTTGGGATTGTTGGCCCCACTCTCTTATTTATTCTTTTTTCATTTAGTGACCTCAAAGCATGGTTTTACAGAAATTTGCATGACAAATTTCAGGATCACCTGAGGGGATTCGAAGCAAAACAGAGGTCAACGTGGCGCATACGTGCAGAATTTGTTTAAAAATCTAAGGTCATCGGGACTCCTTTATATAGAATATCGATATCCCTTTTCATGCATCGATCGTTAGACGTTAAACAAAACGGAGACCAACGCGCATACATATAAACGTATGTACACATCTGTACACACAGAATTTTTTTAAAACTTGAGGCCATCAATACCTCTTTATATAGACGATCAATACCCCTTCTAATGAACTACTCCAGATGCAAAGGGAAAACAGAGACCAACATACGTACGCACACAAAGAATTTTCTAAAACATGTTATGACAACAATGGCCCGCATACACCAATTTTATTTCAGCTTCTCTCGTAACAAAGGTACACCTTGGCTCACGTACCAGAACCACCGTGTACTGATAGAAAAACCTGACGAAGTAGTTTTCCATCTGTACATTAACAATGGTTCCCAAAGCTCACCCCTTTCGCGTACAAATAGTAAGAACGAGTTTTCAAAGCATTGATTTTTCGAGCCCCTTCGACGCAAGCTCTAGACCTAGTCTAGCCCCAGCCCTTTCACTAATATGCTAATGCGCCATTGTCCGTTGCCGTTGGACAGCTGTGGAGGAAAACGAATGGAAACGTTTCACTTTTTCATCCAGAAACGCCCCCGTTGGGTCACGTGTACGAGCGTCACGCGTGTTAATAACGACTCGGTTATGTACTAGCTGCCTAGCGCTTGGGGGCTTCGTAATCGTTCGATCTATAGATCACGGTGTCGTTTCCTTTCTTCGAGCGATTAATTTCGTAAGAAACGGACCGTGACTCACGAGCCTCGATTGACAGCAGGAAAGAATTCGAGCGCGTACAGTTCCCATCGGTTACATAAAATGTTATGCTCGCGTTATCCCGTTAAAAGGTGCCAATCATCGTCGAGAGGTTTCCTTCGAAACTTTCATTTAATTAACTCGCACCCCTCGAGTACGACAGTCCGACCTTGGACGGATGAAACACATCCGCGCGACCTTCGCTTTCAGAGATGCGTCGAAAGCGACACGGAGGAGAAACGTGATCCATTACTGGGAAATCAGTAATCAGGGTTGACGATTGTTAGATAATTAGCAATCATGGTCGTGGATATACGGTAATCACGATTAGCGATCGACGAATAAGAGGCTCTTTACGTTTTAACAAAACTAACAGTTTGCTGTATGTTCAATCAACGTCCAACTGCTTCACCGTAGATGTTCTACAGTCAACACGATGTTAATCTACGTAATGCAGAATCGATGAAACTATGTAACGTAACAACTAGTTCTTCTACGTTTATAAATAAAGTTGAAATAATACTGTTCCTTATCTATGGAGACTACATTCACTCTTTGTCTAAATTTGTCGTATCTAAAATAATAATTTCACTGTTGCCACCGTCGATCAATTTTTCAGGATATACAAAAATATAGAAGGTACTTTTTGATAAATTAGTTGGCAACGAAGTTGACGGAATGGTGAGCAAGTGGGGCTGAATTATCGTCGAAAATAGGGGCGTTTATCGATTAATCTGTCAGTTGTGAGTGATTATTGCGAAAGTAATCACCAGGGACTCGCTGAAACGTCGTTTCGAACTTAAGCCTGACGGGCCGCAATCATATCGATTGATGCATGCAAATCGGTGGTAACAGAATGTTTCCTCCGCGTTTGAATTATATAGGAGTTTCGATAAAAAGCCTCTCATCCACTTTGCACGTGTACATCGATCAAGCAATTTTTTCTATAACATGATGCTTCTACGGACAGAAGAGGGCTGTTTATTGCTTGGTTATCCATTGAATGGCTCCGTTTTATACGTTAGATTATAAGTGTCGTTTTCCTTTCAGAGTTTACGAGCCACATGCTGAGTCACGAGTATTCGAGCGAATGGTTCAAAAATTGCCCCGTATGGGAAGCAGAGTTCCGCGAAACGATTCGTAAAAGAAAATTTCAAACCGTGGCGTGTAAAGATAGTCGAGCTCTGCTGAGTCCATTTTCCAAATTCTAACATCCGACTTCGATCACGGCGGAAGGCTGCTAACTAACCTCACCCAACTAACCTCGTTATTTATTTCAGGGTTCGGTCTGCGACCCTTGGGCCTCGGCGATGACGCAGTTATGTTAATCAGTTATCCCGGAGAGCTCTTCATGAGGCTGTTGAAGTTAATGATCTTGCCCCTGGTGATCGCCAGCTTGATATCCGGTAAAATGCGACCCACCCTCGCCCCAAGAAGACATCTGCGCCTCCGAGATTGAATAGTAATAATAACGAGAAAATTTTCAGGCTCGGCGAGCTTGAACGCAAGGATGAACGGTATGATCGCCGTCCGCACGTTGGTTTACTTCATCCTTACATCGCTGCTGAACGCAGTCCTTGGCGTTCTCCTGGTGCTACTGATTCACCCTGGTAATCCTGGGATCAGAAAATCGATGACAACCGCGCACAACGGACGAGCCGTCAATATCCTGGACAGCCTTCTGGATTTGGGAAGGTACTTTCTTTTGTCTTCCACGGCTCTTCTAGGCGTTAGCTATCGATTGGGAATCCGTTATTTTTGTTCTTTTGCGTCGTCACGCATGGCAACAGCCTTACGGAATTTTCCCACGATCAAAGTGGCGTCTCCGCAGCCGCGCATCGTTGTCCGAGCAACGCTTGACTCGTTCTACCGAACTACCGCTTCGGATACATCGTGAGCATTTTCACGGTGATCTTAACCGATGAGAATGGCGCACAGATATCCTCCCTCGAGTCTGGAATTGATTTATTGGCCGCAATAAAAGGGAGGGTCTCGAGACCATTCGTCCTGTTTGTATTTATCAAGTTGTCGTGGGCTTGCTTTAAATTAATTTTAGACACATTCGTGCCATTAAAGACGCCCTAACGTACGAACCAAAAATGTTACAATGAGATATATTTAGAAAGCAGGGGGTTGGATCGACTAAAAGAGTATTTTAAGTTCATTTAGTCCATCGTTGCTATAGATAGACCTGTACAGTCCTGCTTTCGTTCTAATATTAGACATGAACGCATAGTGTCAGTTTCAAGCTAAATTGTGACGATCGGAATTAGGTTTAACCTTTACCTATAGACTTACGTTTTATTAGGAGGGGTATACCACAAGGACGTGCTATGCTCGAAGAATGGATCCTTCGAATAGTACAGCTATGAACATTCTGGCACGAAATGTTGTAATTTGCTAAAATATTGACTTGCACACCTATAGTCTTATCACGTGAACACTTTCCTAGGGTTAACTTTGCATCGAGTTGTCTTTTTAGACCGGATGAATTATCGAGGGACGTCGGTTCGTCTCGAAAAGGATTAAGGTCGCCGTTGGTTGACGATCGGTGAACTTTTCTAAAGCCGTCGCGATTGAGGATGATACCCATTCGCGGATGAAAATAGAAGTATATGCACATGCATATATCGATCGTGCGTGGTTTATTCGAGCAACCTGAAGAGTTCCGTTCAAAACGTACGCTTCTGGGTGCATATCGCCGACTAACACAATTACACGTTGTATCGGGAATTAACCGCGAAAGCCGATAAAGGCTGGCTATATCGACCAACCATTTATAAAACAAGATACGCGTCCTATCTGACTGGAGCATTCTTTCACGTTGCAGGAACATGTTCCCGGATAATATTTTCCAAGCGGCGTTCCAGCAGGTAAGCGATCCTTCGACTTTTGAACAACGATGCATAGTATAAAGCGCGGTTCCTTGCCACACGTCGATCGTTTCTTACAGGCACACACGGTGTACGTGCCGAAAACCCAGCCGTTTCGAAACCTCAGCGACTCTGTGTCCACGGAGGTAATTGGCGAAGTGGAGCTGACGAGAGTGACCCAGTACAGGAGCGGAACGAACACCCTGGGCATAGTCTTCTTCTGTCTGGTCTTTGGGACGTTCTTAGGTACCCTAGGCGAAAAGGGCCAGATCGTCATCGACTTCTTCAAGGCTGTCTTCGAGGTCATCATGCGCATGGTGTCGACCGTGATGTGGTAAGCAACATTATTTTGCGAGTTCCTACATCGGATTCCAAGGAACGCTATCGATGTTCAAATAAATGGATAGCAAGACATGGTCGCGTGGATTTTCAGGATGACACCTGTGGGCATCACCTCAGTGATCGCCGGGAAAATACTCGGCGTGACCGATCTGGCGTTGGTGATGTCGCAGCTCGCCTGGTTCATCGTCACGATCGTGATCGGTGTCTTTTTCTATCAGCTGGTGATCATGCAGCTGATTTACCTGGCCTTCGTGAGAAAGAACCCTTTTAAATTCTACGCCGGCCTCGCCCAGGGTACCCTCACCGCCTTCGCCATGGCATCAACGTGAGTCGTCGATCTTCGAACTCAGCCCGACCTTCAGAGTACCCATATATCGCCTGCCTCACATGGCCTCGGTCGTCATCGTCATCTTACCTTCTCCAGACCATTCCCGTCATTCCTGTTCATCCAGAATCTCTCATGTCGTCCTCTACCGATCCTTCGCTTCCTTTCCGTCCCTTCCGTCTTGTTTTTCCTCCCTTCCTTCACCTTTCCTTAACAAAAAATAAAAAAAAATAAAAAAAAATAAAAATAAAATAAAAATAAAAGAAAACGTTCCGAGAAACGCGTTCAAGACACGAAAGCCAGGTCGGGGGCGTACGACTATCGAATCGATTGACAAAGAGACAAATATGTTTCAGCCAGCCGAGAGGAGGCTTATGCGAGGCCGTGGTCCCGTTACTCCGTTCCGAATACTGCTATCGATTTCAGGCAGCGTTTCACAACGTCGGTGACTGTTCCTATTTTTTCGTTGCCATCGAAGACGTTGTCGAACGCTGACGAAAATCGTTCCTACATCCCGTCCACAGACACGTTCCCATCTTCGGGCCCATTACGTTTCTTTAATGTTCTCGCGTTTCTCATGGGGAGATCTCGTCATGATCAATGAGAAAGAGAGAGAGGTATGCAGTTCCGGGTGGCACTTAGGATGCGGATACTCCCGGTTGTCGGTGATTGTCCACGAACTTTCGGTGGTACGGAACGTCCGATCGTCGTTCGGACATTTGAGCGCCAAGGAGACCGAAATTTCGTGGCGTGTAGCGTGGGCGTCGCAGTCCAGGACTAAGTGACGGGACACTTGAAACGGTTGTTTCGTTAAATGCTGGATCGTCAAGGGATGAATTTCCATGTTGAAATTTTTTAAAATATGCAAGTGTCCCGCCACGTTGTCTCGCGCTGCGACATTGAAAAAGCAAGACGAGAGTGTAAAGGAACGACGAGGACACGTAAAGAGTACAAAAGTGCACGGAAACGGGCGTCTTTGTCCGTGTCTGTTGAGCCGGAAATCAGCTGACTCCGTGTCACCTGGACTGATTCTCGGCGCGGAGGCGTTCGATGGGCCCACGTTATCCGAATCTTCCGTCTTTTCGTCGCGAGGGACGAAGAAGAAGATACCGCCCGAGGGAGGCCTCCGCGCCAACCATGTTATTACATAAGCATTTCACCAACAATTATACAAAGGGAAACTGAAAAAAATATTGGTTGCTCGCGTCGAGCCCGCTCTTCCAGGTTTGACGGCGACGTCCATCACTGGCCAGAACTGCTGAACTACGATACGCTTACTTTCTATGATTATTCATTGCCCGCGGATCACGCGCAGCAACGATCATTTTTTCAGTTTATCCGTAATCGTTTCACCAAACGTCCACTTTCCTATCCTGGCGAGAACCGTCTGCCTCGAGCAGGGCTTTCTAGGCACTTCTAATGAATTTAAAAAGAACTCCATTTAGTATAAAGACAAATTGTATCGCATTTCGTCCTGGATTTGCTGGTTCAAGTCTTGTCTTAGACACGATACCGTCGACACTGAACGATCGATGGAGTCAAGATGCACGAGTTGACCTAGCAGATCCTCGACGAAAGTGGAATACATCCAATTTCACGATTGAATAATCACGGGGGCACTAAAATTACTTTGTTAAAATTACTATCCTTTCTGCGTATGTTTGAGTCTCAACCATGCTCGACTAGAACGTTCCCGTTCCTTGTCGTCCCGGTTCAGGTTCACTATCCCCGTTCCTTCCGATGCATCGTGGGACAGAGAAGCATTCGTACCACGAGTAACGTTTGCGATGATTGCTATTCCTCGTGCACAACGTGCACGCCTCGAACCCTTTTCCGTCCCATCGTCGCGGTGCTCGAGATCAGTTCTAACACGTCCTGCAACGCCAATGTCTAATTCAACTTGTTTTCTATGTGGATTAACTTTTTCCAGAAAAGAGAGTACACAACTATGCGTACACTGTGCCTGAGAGAAACACAGCTCTCAGTGTATCATGAACAGAGACTGTATGAATATCAATGATGATGTATTAGAGCACGCGCTGCACGCGGCCTTTTGCAGGTGGTTCAGTGAGGTCGAGGGTGGCCTTGGTAAGTAATCGATGGCCGCAACATGAAGGTACAATACGATTGTCTGTTGCAGAGTTAGGTGGACCGTGGGACGCTACGTGACGATCACCCTTGTGCCTGCCGGCGACCCGATTAACCCCTGGTTGATTTTCAGCTCGTCTATGACGGTCATTCTGGTTCAATTAGTTTCCCGAAAACCTTTTACCGTCGTTACGGCACTCCTATCGGTGATCACATGCCCTATCGATCGACCTTAGCGCGACGTCCTTTGTTCACAAGTTTGATTGATTCGTGTCCTTGCATTGTCATTCAGAGATTGTAGAACGACGATCAGTTTCATGTGTCGAGAATTCTTTGCTAGACTATACCTTGCCGCCAGAATGACCCATGGTCCTGTGGACACCTGCCGTAGCGGATATGACCTAACTATTGATGTAGAAACGCGGTATGCCAGATATTTCCTAACGCAGCTTTGTACAGGGCTGCCGCGCTACCGGTCACGTTCCGCCTGATGACGGACAAGCTCAGGGTCGATCCACGAGTCACCAGATTCGTTCTACCGATCGGTTGCAACATTAACATGGACGGGACGGCACTGTTCGTAGCCGTCGCCAGTATATTCATCGCGCAGATGCACGGCATCGCCTTGGGTTTCGGCGAGATTATCACTGTTATGTAAGCAACTTACTTTAGACTAATTCGAGCCTTTCCTCTCTTAATTTCAATCTTCGGTCGTTCCAATCGCGCGCTGATCTAACGAGAAACTATTCTCTTTCAAGCTTAACATCAACCGCAGCATCTGTGTCATCGGCTTCGGTTCCGAGCGCCGCCCTCGTGCTTCTCCTGGTTGTGCTAAGCGCCATCGACGCTCCCGTTTACAACGTCTCGCTGTTATTCACCATCGACTGGTTCGTGTAAGTATCGCGGCATTTTCATCGCGGAACATTAAGATGTTCGAAGATTTCATGTTCGTACTTCAATGCAGGGACCGTATAAGAACCACCAACAACATGTTGGGCGACTGTTACGCCGCCGCGGTGGTCGAGCAGCTGTCGAAGAAGGAACTGATGGCGCTGGATGCGGCAGCCTATCAGGTACTCTCAGTCCTATACGATTTATTTAACTTCGCTATAAAAATAAAAAAGCGAGACTGAGTATACTAACGATAACAATATTCTTTGCAGTCGGAGACCGTTCTGCCAACGACGATCGCGAACGGATGCATCTCTGCGAACAGAGTACCTGATCCTGACACCATCGTAGTCGAGATGCAGGACGATACGAGGATAGCCGGCATCGCCAAGTAAACAAGCTTGTTGGTAGGGCTAGGCTATCACTTTGTACGATCACGAACGATCGCGTGCATTCATCCTGGTTTCCGCTGACGTCTTTTATTCCGCTTCGCTACCTGGTCGACGAAGGCTGATTAACTTGCATATTGCAAACGGCTCCTGCTCGATTTCGTTGACATTTATAAACGATTCATGGCCAGGCCGCCGTTGTCGCACGTAAGCTTTTCGTTTCCTCGCTTTAGGCGCGTCATTTCACCAATCCATGCCCCGGCTCGACGCGTTACGGCCGGAAAGATCGACGATCCGCGTCGATAAGTATCGATCATCGCCGCTGGGACGTTCAGGAGCGCCCATCACTTTCGTGGCAAACGTAATCGTCGTTTTTCCATCTCGCTCGTAACTGTTAATCGTTCGAGCGCCACGGTCCAGCGAGCGGGGCTCTGCGTACCACGTCTTCGTGTCTCTGGAATCGTGCGATTACCTTTGCAACGAATCGACGTTTCTGAATGAATCGACCGAGTTGCGAAAATTGGTTTGGATCTGTACGATCGAGGCTCTCTAGCTTAAGGGGGAACACCACCTACAAGTTTTCTTTACAAATTTATTGACAATTATTTCAAGAAATCCTTTAGTAGAGTCACAGTTTCCTTCGTTCAGTTTCTAATAAATTCCTTGTTTTAATCAACGCTAGTTACGAGGACAAGGTAAACTCATCCCTTCGTGAAACTGGAAAATCCCAATAGCACGGTATCGGAACGTTTATATTTTTTGAATAGATTTTCGTTCCAAAGGTGGGCTCCCCCTTAACGTGAAATCGTGGTAACGTATCATTCTGCGATCATCCATCCCTCAGCACTGCGCCACTCACGACAAACTCCGTCGTTCATCGCATCATCGAGCTCCCATCCGCTTGTTAAAGTGTCGCTTCGAAGCACCGTCGACACCGGAGGCGTCCCTTCAACCGTCTTGTTTCGTTTCAGCATCAGCGTGTTGCAGATGCCCAGAAGCGTGACGGAAGAGACAGTCTGACCAGTGGTTCAACCTGTGTTTAGCTCTAGTTATCGCCGATCGTATTGTTGTTAACGAACTCGCAATCCTTTCACCTTTAGAGAGTTGAAAGTGACTGCGTACTAAACGAGCATCAAAAACAAGGGTACATCGGGCACGCCAGTGCCGTCTTTTACTTTATCGTCTTTTCTACTACTCCGTGAAACGAACGCGCGCGCGCGCGCGCGCGCGATTCGTTCACGCAGGAGACGTGAGTTTTCTCTGTTGTTATTTCCACGGCAGAAATCGGCCACACGAGGAAGCGTGGCTATGGGAAAAAAAAATATATCAAACGCAAAGTCAATATACCGAGGGGGTGCGCTGCAATAGACGAGACACAGCAATAACGCGAACCGTTTATCGAGAGCACATCTCGCGGTGGCTTCCGCGAGGCGAGGATCGAACCGGTTCTCGGATTGCACTCCCGAGTTTATTTAACGATCGTTTCTCGCGATCGATCGCGCAACAGCGTCGAGTGTGGTGCCTTATTTTATCCACGGCACTTAAAATGGCCGCTGCGGACGTAGTTGACGAAAGAGAAGTTTCTGTTAATTTCTACCGAACCCGCGATCAAGCGTTTGGGCTCATCGGCTGAACACTGAACACAGTATCGCTTTTGGCGATCGATCGTCGTACTGCCACAAAGAGTTTTCCACCGATACGTAATACATATTCGACTGTCAGCTAACGTTCCCGATCGTCGGACAACGAAAGTGAAAAACGGTGACACTCGGCGACGCTGGATCCAGGCTCGATTAGTTTTGGGCCTACGGATCGATCCGTCGATCAGCTGACGTAACGGGCGGGCCAGAGACTTTGTTCAATATTATGTTCCGCGTTTAGGGACGTCGTAGACTTAGGTTGGTCGCGATACGAGTTCGATCGATCGCGATGCTAGTCGCTGACGAGTCGGAGCGAAACAAAACTTAGAGGCGTCGGTTAGCGTTCGACGCGTCCAAGCGTCGTTGAACATTATACCAGAAACGTAGAGAAAACTGTTCGGGAAACGAATTGTAGGTTTCCCATTAGCTCTTAATTGTCATACTGAACTATAACTATCGGACCATTGACGAACATTGGATACTCGGTGCACAGATATTTCCAGCGGCGTTTGTTCGACGAAGATTTGTAGAACTGAATGTCTTCGAGTACTGAACATTCCCCCGTACGGGGAGCCGCGTTTACGATTCTGCCACTGTGCACTTTTGCGATTAACGTTCCCTCCCTCCCTCCCCATACCCACCCCTTCTTAGAGTAATTCAAGTCTCGTGACACGGTACTCCGTTTCATAGCGTAGATCCCGAAATCCACGTCCACGACAACTAAAAAAAAAAAAAAATATATATATATATAAAAAAAAAAAAGAAAAATAAGAATGAAACAAAACGAAAGAGAAGATCATCTAGCGCTCTTTGATGGGCAGCCTCAAGACTGGACATGCCATTTGAATATGTCGTTTATAATAAATACTACGTATAACGTTCTAGGAAAATTACGGAGACGAATTCACTGATTCTAGGCACTAGGTACGTAGGTCGATACGTGTTCCATCGTAGAGACTGTTAAAATGTACAAATTAACTGGATAAATAGTGCTTCGTAGTGGCGTTGTTTGAACCCCTCCCAGATTCAAGAACCGTGAAATGTTTTTTTCTTTTTCGAAGCTCGAGTGTCAGTTTAAGTTACGATTACTACCTGCCTCGCGTTCTTCTTTCGGTTCGAGTTGTTGCGTTGCGACCATGTACACGTACACGTTGAAAGTTTTTGCCGTGCTACCACACCTTTGCCGTGCGATGATACCGACTTTTACGTTACCTTCGAACAGTGAATGCGGAGAGAGAGAGAGAGAGAGAGAGAGAGAGAGAGAGAGTGCTTTGTTTATAGCCTAGAGGAGAGCAGAGGAGAATAGAGAAAGAATTTAACGAAATACTTCAAAAAGACTATGTGTGAATATAATTATAAGGCTCGACGTGTTGTATAACAAGATGCAGGTTTATACGAGATCTTGTGTCATCTCTTACCCATGAACGTTCTTCGTCCTTCTGTTTCAAGTAAATCCTTCTATCTTTAACAAAACACGAAGGTAGGTGCAAAGAACGAGCGACAGTATTTTCCTAAAAAATTCATTTATTTAAGATCCACCCGTCGCGTGGATCCTTGGCTCACGGGAGAGTCTTTGTACAAAGAGTTTGTTGTTTGTTTTATACAAAATGTGACATACCTATCATCTAGTGTTTATGTATACCTGGCAGGCGGTTCGTTCTTCGTTACATCGAGATTTCGTTCGGGCAGACGAACGCAAAGTATAAAAATTAGATGAGAAAGAGAGACTGGGGATAGAGATAGATGGGTGAAGGGGTTAAATGGCGCGTCCAGAGTCACCACGAATTCCAGAATGATCAGTCCGCTCGTGGAGACGCATTTTCGACGCGAGGACGTGGCGCCACGCTCGAGGAAACGTTTACCGGGCGGTGGATCGATCCGTCTCGATTCCTCGAAGAATACAAAAAAAAAAAAAAAGAATTAGATCACTGTACAATCCGCGCGTCTCGACCAGCGTGGCGCTTACGTCTCGTTTCGTTCGCGTAAAACAGTCTATCTTTTTGATTACAAAAAGGCGAAACGTTATCGTCGCTTTCTCCGTTCGTTAGAGAGTATTATGTACACCGGTTACTTAATTATTTACATTTCGAGTATTCTTTCATCCGTCGATCGGCTCGACGATCGAAGCGGCAAGTAAAACAGTCGTATCGTACAAAAATCTGAGACAACGTCGTCGCGCGATCGCCTCCTTTTCGTCGTTAACGGGCTTAAGTACACTGCGCGTATTCCACGCGAATGGGATTATATCTACAATGATCGATAAGCGCGAAAACGAGGCGCTCGCCTATGTATACGTATATATATGTATATATCACGAGGGGGATAAAAAGAAATTTGCACCTTGGCGCCGACGACGATTCCGTCGAAGGTCAGTCAACTTAGAGTCTCTATTTTATACACTGCACACTGGAATCACACGATTAGCTCGAGTCTACGCACTCCGCGATCGATACGGTTTACTAAAGTGTCTCTCGCGTCTAATTTCAATCGTCTAGGCAGCCCTGAATCAGGGATGGGCACGTTCGAGTGGCCCTGAAATACCACTCGACCCGTCGAATATTAAATACATCCGTAACTTGTACTCAATGATGCGTCGAATTGCTTAGTATTCAGCAAAGAATACTTATATTCACCGACGAATATATACATAATTGATTTAGGTTGTGCGCTAACCATCCGACCGCAAGCAGAATACAAATTAGCGACGTATATATTTCGAAGTGCATCCTGCCCATTCCTGCGGTACCAGCACCCCCCAGCTAGACATTCAACGACGATTCGGAGGAGCCCTCAGATCCTCAACTCGGCGTCGGTAACTGGTATCCCTCTGTTGGCGCTTTGACTGGACCTCTGCGTGGCTGGTGGTACCAGAGGACTGATGCTGGGACTCCTGGTGGCGAGAGGAGAGAGGGACGGAGAGAAGCTGGGACTCAGGGCCGCCGAGGGAAACGTGGAAGCGTCGTGACTGATCGGTGACCTAGGAAGAATGCCTCTGGCCAAGGCCGGGGCAGCCAGCGACCTGGGAGCAACGGAAGTCAACAACGGCGGGGGTGGAGCTTTATGTACAGACTTGGTCTTGCCGCTGCTCCCAGAGTTTCCGCTCTGAACGCTGGCTGCATCGTCCTTCAGCCTCGCGATCTCGCTGAACACGTGGGCCAGAGGTTGATAGTGAGGACCCCAGTCGAGAAGATAGTCCCAGTTGTACGATCCAGTGAGCTCCTCCTCGCTGTGAACGATGGAGCTCAAGGAACCGTTCATCGACGGACCTCCAGGCACCTCCAGGCCCGACATCGGCCTTCCAGGCTCGCCTATCTTCCCATAAATCAGAGTGGCGATATCTGCCTCGGTGGCAGTTTCGTCCTCGAACAGGTGCAGGCTGTCGAGAGGCAGTGCTTCTGGCGGCCTGCGAGGCGTGCCAGCAGGAGGATCGACGATCCCCAACCTGGCCAAGTACTCCTGAGTATTATGCACCGATAGATCGCTCGCAGAGTCCCCAGTCTGTTGGCCCTCGTTGATCATTCGGATTTCCTCGTCCTCTCCGTCGTCCTCTGCCGAACCTCTGCCGGAAGATCCGGACTGATCGCTGCCAGATAATTCAGAAGTGGCTTGCTGTTGTCCAGATTGACCAGAGGTACCGTAAGGTGGTATCTCGTCGTACTTTGGGGGCGCGAATTGACAAGACGCGCCACCGTTTCCGCCGTTACCATTTCCTGAGCCTACATTCCCGGCTGCGCCTACTCCGCCCACGTTTCTGATAGGAATGGTGTCGAACGCGCTGGGATCCACGTAGCTGTTGGATGCGGTGGCGTTGCTCTCTCCATTCAGGCCTGGTTTCGTACCTGGTTTCTTGTGTCTTCGGTTGCGAAAATGGAGATACAGGAAAATGGCGCCAAAAGCAACAACTAGAAGAAGAAGAGCGATCAGTAAGCCCAACGCCCAGTCTGCGAGACCTCCACCAGCCGCGACGGCCATGTTGGAGCCACCGTCCGTTGGGGTTGCTAGCGCCGTGGCTCCTCTGGCCTCGTTGATGTCGTTGTCCTCCGCCAGAGTGATCTCCACCATGGTCATGTTCGATAGAGAGCCTTGTCTGCCAGAGCTGGCGCTGACGAATAATTTCGACGACTCCTCCACGTCCAAGTCGATGTGCATCAGCTTCTCCTTCACGATCAACGCTCCAGTAGTCCTGTTCAGCTTGATGTAAGGATGCTGCGAGGTCAGCTGATACACCACCCGACCGTCTGGTCCTTTGTCGCGATCCGTGGCCGTCACGTGGCCTATCACAGTACCAGGGACCACCCGAGTGCCGCTTCTGATTCCGAATCTGTACATCCTCTCGGTAAACTGAGGATAGAACTCGTCCCTGGACTCGATCTCCACTCTCACCCTCACGGCTGCGGTTCGACCTCCCGTATCCGTGGCTCGCAACGTGAAGGCGTATCGATTCCTCAGCTCGTAGTCGAAGACAGCCCGAGTCGTCACAGTACCTGATTTCGCGTCCACCGCGAACAGCTTCCAGCTGTCGTCGATGTCCGAGAATCCAGTCGCAGCTGCTGACACGATCGAGTAGTTCAATGATCCAAAGATACCACGATCCAGGTCAGACGCTCTAGCTGAGAAAACGGTAGTCCTGATAGGTTCGTTCTCGCCGACGAACTCTAAGTATTCAGAGACAGGGAACTTGGGAGAGTTGTCGTTGACGTCTTCCAGACGGATTCGAAGCCTCGCCAGCGCGCACAGAGGAGAAACAGCATCGCTGTCGCAGGCCATGACCACGAGATTGTAAATCTCTGGCTCCAGGTCGCAATCCAGGGTCGCGTTCACCAACACAGTACCCGTGGTCTTCTCCACCCGAAAGAGGCCACCGTCGTTTCCAGATGTAATTTCGTATACCAGACTCGCGGCAGGACTTCCAGCGAGGTCGTCGTCCTTGGCGCGTAAGGTCGCCACTGTGGTCCCGCGGACTGCGTTTTCTTTGATCGATACTTGGTGAAGTTCCTGGAGGAAGCGAGGGTAGTTGTCGTTCACGTCATCCACGGTGACGATCACCGTTACTGGTTCGTCTCCCACCAGGGAACCTGTTGTCATGTTTTCGTTCTTGGAGCCCAGTCTCAAAACGTATCTAAAAATGAGAATTTTCGTTACAGTGGATCCGAAATTTTAGTGGCATCTACAGAATCTACTCTACAGGACCTAATACAAAATCGCCTGCTATCCTACACGACATACGCATTACGAATCGAATTGTTCGTCCTTACCTGTCCCTCGTTTCCCTGTCGAGTGTTTTGGAGAGGATCAATTTGCCCCTGGACACTTCGAACGTTCCGCTGTCGTCGCCTGCAACGATGCTACCGTCCAATAGGTCCACGTCGGACAGTCTCATTAGAGTGGTACCCCTCAATGAATTTTCCTTCGTCGTTATCCTGTACTCCTTGCCAGGCAGGGAGCTCTTCAGGCTGCTCAGTCGCACCACGACCGAGCACACGGACGACGCTGGTGGTTTGCCATAATCTTCGGCCACGACGACCAGCTCCACCTCTTTGGGCAGTGGTCTTGGTATCGCTGTACGATTAACCGTCAGGACACCGGTCACAGGATGCACAGAGAAGCCCTTGGTAGCTTTCAGGAGATAGTATCGCACGCGGCTGTTGTCCTCCGTGAGGTCGTCGTCGGTCGCGTTCACCGTCAGGATTTCTTGCAGCTCTCCGTGTCCCTCTGCGTAGAAAAAAAAAAAGTAACAGATGTTTAGACGGTTGCAGCAATGCTTGGGATTCGGTTCGGAGACACTTTGACGTTCTACTGTTGAAGTTAAAGTAATGGAAGGCTCTCTAGATACGAGTTTAGTTTTTTAACGCCCTGTTCAAGGTCTGGCGCGCAGTCGTTCGCGACGTTCTCCCGTGACTCGATCAATGTCGAGTCGCGTGAAAGCAGCGAGCTCTCGAAGACGAGCGGCCGGGATCGATTTTCGGCGAATGTACTCGAAAAGGGTCCCGGGACAAAGCTTGGGGGATCACGGGCGCGAGGTCAAGTACCCTCCTGCCTCTTTTTGTCGGTGGTACGTCCTCGAGCAGCACCATCGCCACCTTCAGTTCTTTCTTTTCTCGGTAAAGGAGGAGGATAAGCCGTCCTGACATCGGGCTGAACGGAAGTATGAAATAATAACCAGTTGTATAAATCGCTCGAGCGGCCGAGCCGTGGGGCCCCCAGCTCCGTTGCAGCGTACAAAAATCATTTCGATGCGTTTCAAATCGTCGGATAACTCGGCATTAATGTGCCAAGCTCCGACCTAAAGCGTGCAAGGTAGACAAAGAGGGCCAGCGTGGACCAAGAGAGAGAGAGAGAGAGAGAGAGAGAGAGAGAGAGAGAGAGAGAGAGTGAGAGAGAAAGAGAGAAAGAGAGAGAGAGAACGCGAGCGAGGGAAGGGCGGAGAGGCTGAAATAAAACTTCACGGACGGGCAGCCCTTTGGGGATGTCTGCGGCTGAGGTGGTAGGACGACCTCGTAGTAGAAGGCGGAGGGGGGAAGGGGATCTTACGAGAAGTGACAGGTACTCTATAATTATTGCGAGGTGCGTATGACCGCGGTGTATGCGTATTCGCGTCACGACGCCTTAGCGAGACGAATTCTTATTACCGGCAGCGAGAGAGTAATAATCTCCCTTTCCCCTCGTTTCATTAATCCCTCCTTCTTTCCAGAATATATTCTGCCTACACCGGGCACTTTAATACGATTTTGATAATCGCGGGATTAACTCGTCCCCCCTTGTTCGTTGATCGCGATATAAACGATCCGCGTGCTCTGTCGGGAGACATCGAAAACGCACCAGGTCGAAGGAAATTCGTCTCTCTTTAACCTCTCTCTCGCGGGCTTGATCTCGCGAGTAACACGAAGATAAAAAATATATTCTGGAAGCTCGTGCCACGTTCTATTTGTAGAAATAAAGTCCGCTTCGATCGGGTGTGTAGCATCGTCGTAAAAAAATTCGCGAACGCATCCTCTGTTTTGACTCCGAGAAACGTAACCCCTTAACCGGTTCCTGGGGGGCAGATTGATGTATGCATACGTTATGGGATTCCCCGTATCTGTAGACGCGTCGATATTGAAACGTGCAACCTGCCTCGCGAGCTTCTAATTATTATTTTCACCTTTTGCTCATTACCGGGATTGACCCGCGGTATAGCTCGACAGCTTAGAAAAGATCACCTGCGGGAGCGGTCCGAGCGTGGCGAAGATGAGATTCGTTGATGAGGCGCGGGGCTGCTCGGTTAATTGAGTTTCGCAATGTTTGTTTAGTTTAGTTGGTTTGTTTCGTGGGATCCAGTCGTCGGAAGATCCGGAATTGTTGCATAGTAAGGAGATATCGATGCAGATATCGATGATTTTTCTATGCATTCTTGCTAGTACTTTCTTTTGCAGCTTCGTAAACGCTGAATCGTTCTGTTTCACCCTCGAATCAGCTCCTTATTTTTAACTAAATTCTCTCAAAGGTCGTCGGTCCCATTGCAACTCTCTTTCTCCCGTCCAGGTACCAGCGGCGTTATCGATCAGCTTTGCGCAACATTCTTTTTTTCTCGGGTCTCTCGCATTGTCCCCTCCGTCCTTCTTCGGCCGTTTTCACGAATCCACGTAGCGAGGGCCAAAGAAGAGACGAAAATAAGAAGGAGATGCAAATTCGCGAGGCCGTCGCCGTGGGAGCTCCCCCCCTTTTTCGACTCTTTCCACGTCCACCTCCTGCCAATCCGGACCCTCCCTATCGCCCCTCAGCCGCCCACCGAAATGCACCATTAGGCGCGGGCCTATGTATTTTTAATAAGTTTCGAGAGTCTTCGAAGCGGGCGATCTCGGCCGGCGGTTGCAGCGAAGGCGGCTTTTCGGCTGCCTCGCAAACGGTGTCCTCGCGTTTATTTATGTGCAAGGCGTTCGTAATTCTCCTTCGTTCCCCGGGGGGGCGCGGGGGGCGCCCGCCCTCCCTCCCTTCTCAACCCCTTCAACCCGACACTGTCTCTCTCGATCCTCGCTTCCCGTCTTCGAGGATCCTCTTGGTCCTCGTCTCCTTTCCTTTGCTGCTCCCTTCAGCATTCGGGCAGCTAGCTTTTCATCGGTCCCCCTTGCCCTCGTCCTCTCGCATTCTGTCATCCAGCTATCTTTTTCTTTCCTGGCCTCCCTCCGCTCGCTGGTCGCCTCTCTGTCGCGTGCTTTATCTCGGCGCGGTGTCAATTCGAGTTTGGAACACGGGCAACAGGACAACGCGTGTCTACTAAAAACCAGTTTTTAAACTCGCGTTTATTTCGCGCCGAGGGACTTGCTACGGGGCCAGCTCGACGTTGCTTGTCATCCCTCTCTCTCTATCCGGCTCCCTGGTCCACGGTTGCGAGGATTTCTTAGACGGAATGTCGATCTTGTAGACGACCCTTCGTTAGGAACGATTAGAAGCAAGAAATTTACTCCGATTTTCTGTTATCGACAGCCCTCCACGATCATACAATCGAATCCTGGCAATTCGCTTTCGAGCATCGCACCAAATATTAACGGTGTTCGTCGATGTCCCTATCCATTTTTCCATAATCGATTCAATGACACCCGCTACAAGCCCCAGACTATACTACTCCAGCCAGCGATATTAGCGAGTATCGGATAACATCAGCTGAATTCTTGCAATCCCGATCCTACCAACGCGGAACGAAATAAGAAATCAAATTCCCGGTGTTGTCGAGGATACGGCGTTCCTCGACTGGGGTTAAAAACCCTAGAATGGCTGTATCTTACCGCCTAACATAATCGTCGCGCGTTCGAACGTCGCGATAACGATCCACGGATTCCGAGAGGTCTCTGTCGGAGTTACTCACCTGGCAGGGTGGCGATGTACGCCGACTGCTGGAACCGCGGCGCGTTGTCGTTGAGATCCGTGACGCGGACTATCAGGTCCGTGGTCGCCTCGTGGATGCCATCGCTGGCGATCACTTGGAGGCTGTACTCCGATCGGGTCTCGGCGTCGAGACGTCTGCGAAGAACGACCTTGCCGCCGAAACGATCGATGCTGAAGGGGCCTGGATTGGTCACGCTCCCGAATTGATAGGTCAGAGCTGGAGAACTATCCACGTCGTTCGCAGTAATAGTCTTCAGCACTGTGCCAACAGGTGTAGCTGCATCAAAAAAACGGTATCAGTTACTTTAACGGTCGCTGAAAATCCAAGACAGATCCTGTCGAAGAGTTAGAGGTTACTTTACGAAGGACATCCAAGACTAGGTGACTATTCCAACCATTAGATATATTATACACATTTTCTTCGTTTCCTGTGTCATTTCCCATGGAACAGATTTCCATATAGGGAGAGGAAGGTCGTTTAATGGGAATCGAGGCACCGTTGATGAACCGTTTAACCGCGACATCGAACCGCAGTCGGTTTATCGTCGCACAATGCCAGACACCGTTGTTACTGATGAATGGCGTCGTTATGCGGCCCAGCCCTTCCCACCCGTGTCTTTTTCTCCTCGGGCAAAGAAGCCACTTTGTCACTGGTAGACAATCATTCGCGATACATATATAGAGCGGCCGGACGGCGCTCTTCCGCGAACTTAAAGACACTCGAAGGGAGTCGCGTTTAAAATGCATTGAATCCCTACTATCGGCTTGTTTTATCTCGCTCGTGCTAAGAAGAAGGCGCAGCGAATCCTTCCAAAGATTCGTACGGAGCATCGTAGGCGATAATCTCGAGCGTGCCGCGGGCAAATTACGAACGGTTGGACCACGGTAGCCGAGGTATATTGAAAACGGGAGCTCGGGATAAAAATCTGTCGGCATTGTCCTCGCTGGGAATCGCAAAAATGATTACGATGAGTCGTTCCACAACGAAACGTTGATAGCGGAAATTGGAGGTCTTGTTGAAATTGAGAGGTGAAGTAGTTCCGGTAAGATGGGAGGGAGTATAAGTCATTATTATGGAAAGCAGGACTGAAATGATCGTATCTAGCAAAGATAAAGTAAGAAAATATCGATCGATTGACTATTTGGACGAGGCTTGGCATACGGATAGAACACTAAAAAATATCATAGAGTGACGTGCTGCGAACGGAGCCAACACCTGCGCCAATAAAAGAATTATTTCGCCAAGCGATGTGTCCAGTTGGTTCTGATGAGGACTAACACGTGGCCACGTCCGCTCGTAAATTTCACAGCCGATCGTTAAAGTCGTGTAAATCGGTTTGGAGAGCGGCCACGTCCCGTGGCCGAGCTCCTCGAGTTCCGGTAGTGTTGTCCCGTTCGGAAGCGGAGGTATGATCTCTCTATTCGTAACCTGAACTCTTGGAGAAAATTCATCGCTATCTACGATGTCTCGGCAGTCGAGTGCCTCCGTAACGGTATCATCGCGTGTAAGGACGTCGTGCTTTAAATTATTCCGCGGCGAAAAGTCGATAGCTCCTAGACTCGGAGTGTTCGAGCCCCGAGTTGGAAACTCGTGGTGAATCGAGCGGAATGCGCCTCGAAATAATAAATTCCCAGGGTCTGGCACTCGGTCTTCGTAAGTTATATCGAGTTAATTCTGATTACCGGAGGTCCTGGGCGTTCGCGGATCGGCGGGCAGCGCACGCGAATGCGATACGTCGCCTGTGTGTACTCCTTGTACGGAAAATCCGCTCGACGGTGGTCTACCATTGTTTCGATTTCTCGTGTCAGTGCCAGTTTCGGAACCGATTCGATCGATGCTGTCGATTAAATCCTCCTTCGACTGCGAGTGCGTGCACAGGCTCTGCTCGCGGTCGCGCGGTTGCCCGTGTGCACCGCTAGCGAGCGGACGCGGCGAGGGTCCCCCTCAGAAACAAAGGCGTGGGGCCTATCAAACATCGGCAAACCGCACCTCTCGTTTTAGGCCGAACGATAATTACATACGCCGCGTTCACCCTGGGATAATTAAAAACAATTACTGTGCGCTTCGCTAAAATACGAGCCGGTCGCGGGCTTGGGATAATTTCTCATGGGGGCTGCAGTGGTCGTCAAAAAACTTGCCAAAACACTTTTTTTTGCAGCAGAAATTCAAGGAATGCAGTCTTTAGTCCTTTTTGTAATCAGCTATGCTTTATTTATATAGGTGATTGCCCTCAGGGACTGTAGCTATGTTCAATTGTAGCTACAGTACGGGTTTGGCAACCCCGAGGTACCCGAGCTATTATAGGGGGATCCATATTACTAATCCAAATGCAAAGTAACGTAAAGTAAGAATGAAATCAACGTAAAGAATGTACAAATTCAACTGATTCGACTTTGCATTGTTGCAAATTAAACTTACTCTCTTATGTAGTCACAATTTCTGTCGAAATGCGAACTCGACTGCGTGGATGAGAAAGAACGAAGAGCCTAGACGAAAGTGGTCCAATATCGATTGTCAAAAGGATAAGTGGCGCAATGGCGCGGCAGGTGCCTGAAAAGGCCGGCTCGCCTCCGGGATCTCCGTGGGCGCGCGTTGCGCGACGACGGTATTAAATATATTCTATCGAGCCGGCACATCGGGGATAGAAGTGGTAGCAGTCTCGTTTGCGCCGGAGTGAAGTTTTATGGTGATACAAATTAGATAGCGATCTCGCGTTACCTCCGTTGGCGCGCGAGTACGCGGCCTTTCGTGTCGAACGTTCTTAGAAGTCTCTCGCGAGGAGCGAGAGCTGAAAGGGAACACCGACGCCGCAACAAGAACAAGACGAAGGGGGAGGAAGTGGGGTGAAAAAAGGACGAGCGAGACAAGAGGAGGAAGCGGAGAAAAAGGGCCACCAGGACCAGAAGAAGTAAAGGAGAATTGCGGCGAGATGAGAGGGACATCGTGAACCGAAGTTTCGCGATGTAAATTAAACGAAGCGCATTCGATCCTCGAGGTCTCGAAGACTGGACAAGTAAAAAGACTATGTCGTCCGGAGTAGTTGAAACATCGCGCCAAGCGAAACTTCGCCCAATTACGAGCCTCGAATCTCCTTCATTATTTACCGCCATTTCCCCGCGACGTCTCTATCCTTCTTTGGGTCCTCTCGCTCTAAGAGGTTTCGAAAAATGGTGCGACTATTTTTACGCAATTTCTGAAAGCCGTTGATTAAATAGATTGCGAGTAAATACCGACATGGGCCATATGTTAGTATAGAGGCCGAAGGAGAGTGGTAGTCTTTAGACTGATACGCAGAATTCCAATTAGTATGCTTTATAAAGAAATATAATACAATAAATATAAAGATAGAATACATCTTTAAACTTACTTCATATATTTTGAAAAATTGATGATGCTAAGATAGTTGCCAAGTCAGTCATATTAACCGGTTAGAAAATTAGAAAAGATTCTGAACCACGACCTATACTTTTGCATATTCAATGCCCCCCTAACTGATACTTCTCGAGGGGCACGGTAGCGAGCACGAGGCTGGCCTGGCGCTTGCTCGTCAAACTCGGGGGCCACCTTCGGTGGGTGCCGTTCCATTGAATCGTATCTGTCAATGGGGAACAATATGAGGAACAGAGAGGGCGAAAAAAGAACCCGAGGAACGACACGTAGAGGAAAGAGCGCGAGCTACGCCGAACGAGCGTTCGCAGCCTGGCCTAAGTTATGCAGATTGTTCCGCAACAGTTGGACTTTAATGCCGGCATAAATCCTTTGCCACTTAACTTTATACTTGGAGAGTAGTATGCACTCCCACCTCGGCTAACCGCGCCTCTCCTTCTTTATTCCTCGTGCACTTTCTTCTCTCTTTTTCCTTCCTTTCGACTCCGTTTCTCGAGCCCCCTTTCGACCTTTCCCTTCGCGGTCGCCTCTTCGACCGATTCGCGCCTCGTACCGGTGCCCTAACCGATCATGCTTCACTTTGCCACGCAGAAACGTCTCTTTTCGCGTGGTTGGATCGAATGTATTTAGAGCAGATAACAAGCAGAATTCGACTGATTTCGCTCGAATATGTGAAAAGCCTATATATGAAATATAGGCTTTTGTGGAACCTAGATACCAACGATTTATCCTCAGAATGAATTCGCGCCCCGCATCCAGAAAATGCAAAACCGTAGTCCGTATTTCTCGCGTGCAGCCGAGCTATCGCGAAAATCTCGTACGGGAGTGCCGCGAGGGTCCCTTGGGACGTCGAAAGCTCCTCAACTCGCGACATCTAACTTCCACTTTCCGTAAAAGAATCCAGGTTGTTGCAATCGATTCGCCAATTAGACGGAGGAAGAAGGTCATTTACCGATCGCCAGCCTCGCCGTGAAGGGGCTAATTGGAAATGACACAGACCGATGAAATACAAGGAGGCGTATACGCAATCGCGGCTGCTCGTAACTTGTTCGTGGGCGATTGTAAACAGCGCTAGCTAATAATCGGCTGGTTAACCTTCATTTCCGCCGTGCCTCTTAAGGAGGACAAACGCTGTAATTGGACTATACGACCGATGCAATTATCTCGGGTTGTTTAATTTCTAAGACACTGGCATTAACGTTTCATCATCCCTACCCCTCTCACCTACTTCATTTTATTTTAATTACCACGAACCCAGCCGTTCGTGTGTCGAACAGTTAATGCATACAGAACTTTAAACTTACCTTCGGAGACGGAGATGATACTGTGTTCCGGAAACGTGGGCTGATTATCGTTGATGTCGATCACTCTGACGCTGAGGGCTGCGGTGCCAGTCAGCTGGGGATTCCCCTGATCCGTCGCTATGATCGTTAGCCTGTACTTTTCGCGAATCTCGCGATCCAGAACGATGTTAGTCCGCACTACTCCGCTATAGGGTGGGCTTATGGTGAACGCGTTGTCTGGGTTTCCGTCGACGATGTGGTAGAGGATCCTGCCGTTCATTCCCTGATCAGCGTCGCTGGCCGATAGCTGCATCCAGGGAAAACACAAATTGTAAATTGCAGGAAAGATGTTCGAAAGAGTTGCTCTCTGCCAAATTAATAAATAAATTACCTTGACAACAAAGTCTCCCTTGACGTTTCCTTCCAGGACAGTCGCCGAGTACTGCGTCTGAGTAAACACAGGCGGATTGTCGTTCACGTCGGACACCCTGACGACCACTTTGACGTAAGCCTCCAAAGGATCTGTCCCGGATGTCCTGGCCACCACAGTGAGGACGTGCTTCGAGCTCTCCCTGGGCTCCTCTTTGGACAGCTGGCCTTCCAAGGACCTTCCCCAGGTATTCGCGTGTCCATCCGCCGTTTGCTCATCCACAGGTTTCACCCTCATATCGGTCCACAGTTCAGCGTCCAATCTCGCAGGATCGTTAACGCGCAACAGGCCAGTATCTTTGTCGATGATGAACGTGCCAAAATCGTTTCCGGACCCCAGAGAGTAGGAAACGTGGTGTCGTCTGCCATCCGACCGAACAGCTGTGACCTGGACCACTTCCGTGCCTGCAGCGGAGTTTTCTTGGATGACGACTTCGTACGTCTCGTTCTGAAACTTCAGCACGGGCACCAGGTCGATCAAATCTCCGACCTGCAGCTCGATCAGGCCCTTTGCGCTTTTAGGAGGGATCCCCTTGTCTGTGGCCAGGACCTCCAAGTGGTAGGTCTTGCCGTTGTCTTGCGACAGGGACAACGCCGCCGTAACGACGCCCGTGTTCGGATGAATTCTGAACTTGAGCTTGTCCTGGTCCTGCGGGAAGGAGTAGACGATCTCTCCGTTTGAACCTTCGTCAGCGTCCGTCGCCACCACTCTAAGGATGTTCTTTTCTGTCTGCGTACCGATCGACACCCTGGCACGGAATGGGTACTCCGAGAAAACTGGGGCGTTGTCGTTGATGTCGCTGACGCGGATCTCGACGGGGATCGAGGTGCTCCTGGCGTCGTACTTGCCGCTGTCCGTGGCTACCACCAAGAAATTGTAGACGCTCTGTCTTTCGCGATCCAAGGGGCTGCAACAGAGGCGAAGATATGTTAATAGTTGTTGGGAGATAGAATAGATCTACCGATCTGTCAACAGTGTATCGACATTAAAGTATTCAATGTTATTAGCAGAAAATCCTGCTTCGTCGACAGTGCTCTCTCCAGGTGCCATAGAGACGTAACCAACCGTCAAAGAGGCTAGAAAAGAACAAAGGAAGAAAAAAAGCCGCAAACGAGCATCGCGACATGGAATAGGGAGATCTATAGAGCGGAAGGGTGTCGCGAGGAGGCGCGCAGCGGCATACTTTTGCCGCGCGACAGCAGTGTGTCATTTCAGCGGGACACCATGTGGCATTTCAATGCATTATTTCAGCCTTGCAAAAAGCCAGATATGCAAAACCAGATCCCCGGTCAGACCACTCTTTCGCGATCTCCGTCCTCGTCTCTTCCTCTCCGTTCTCCCAGCGATCGCGTCTTCCCCCGAACTTTCTCGCGCGCTCTCTTCGTCCCTCTTCGCCGTCTCGATCCTCTCGGTTCCCTCGAGATCGGTAGCTTCCGTCGTCGCGCGCCCGTGTCGCGTCGCTGCTGTTATTGTTGCTATTGCTGTTTGCCGCGCGGGTAGGTGTGTATCACCGTTCTCCCCTTGTTCGTTCCCAGGACCACCCGGAAGATATACCCCGATTCGCAGCCCACGAGCGGGACCAGATCTCACGAGATCGTGTCGATAACGCGCCACGACGCCGGCGCCGGGAACGATTCGCCACCGATAGGCTAGGCGCGCGTTTAGCAGCGCAGCATTTTGTAAACGATGTAGACGATTTCGCGCGACACGTTTATCGCCTACCTGACTTATCCGATGAAGGACTGGCCGAGGAGGACTCGAGGATAAGGGTTCACGATGGTACGCGGTCTGTATTATTAAGGGGAAGGCTTGTTTCATCGAGGGAGGTCCGATTCTTAACGACAGAGTATTCTAACGATAGTATAAGGACATGTTTTATGGATAGTTCTATTTCTAGGGTAACCAAGTTTGGCATCTACCTTTGGTACGTTCCTAAAACCTCGTCAGTGACGTAGGCTATCGTCTGCTGATCAAGACGAACTACCACGATAGATAATTCCATAAGAAGCGTCTCTAATAAGAAATCAAATTCGAAAGACGCCGTGTGGCAAAGCACAGAGGATGCTGAGCTGTCGTCATTCGCGTTTGTAGCCACCATGTTTCTCACTCTAAGCGAACGCTTGTGGCAATCTTCCGCTCTTCCCGTCCGTGACAGAGACAATGATTTGCAACGGGCACCGTGGCGCATGGTTCGAGGAAATATTATCCAGCATAATCTCGACGGAAGCGATTCGTGCCGGCGTAAATGAAAAAGGGCGAGCTCGTTTAATCGCACGACAGCGCCGGAGCGAGTCGACTCGCTCAAATCGTAAATAACTGCGTCGATCTCGCGCGCTACCGACTCTCGATTATTATTCCACGCTCGTTAAAGGTTATTACGTGTACCTACGTACGTTACCGTACGTGCGAAACCATTATCGGGGCAGGGGGACGGGTGGCAGAGAGGTGGACGGGGGTAGGGGGGACCTGTCGGTACTTATCGGCGGAGGCCACGCGAATTCGCGCAGGGGTCTCGCGTGACTCCTCGAAGCCGCTAATAAAGACAGAGTTTGCCGATTCGATAAATTACGCCCGCCCTCTGGCTCTTATCGCGCGGTATCTGACGGCGGAATGGGGGCAAAAATGCCCTGGCAATTGAATGTTACCGGTTAAACGGGCGCCAGTTGAATGGGAACAAATTATGCATTCAAGCAGCGGCGCGAGCACGAGCGAAAAATTCACCGCGATAGTATAATTAGATTAGAATTAGCGAGGGCGATAAAGACGTTTGCCCGCGCGGTTCAGTAAACGGCCGCACGAGCGGGAAAGTGTCCCGACTCCCGATCGCTGTTGTCCTTTAGGATGATTACCTTCCTTGGAAATTTCCTCGTTACCCTTTCTCGCGTGATTTAATCCTGGCTGCTTAGAAAGAGGAAAACTGGAGGTGGACGGCGGTACGCCAAGTCGATGCAGCGATTCCTCGAAGCGTAGGTATAGCTCACGGCGACGGGGACGCTAAATTCGCTCGGTAGCGGCGAAAATGCAACCTCCCCCGGCTTTCGTGCGATTTAAGGCACGAAACAGCGGCCAGTGAGCCGCCAACAGTGGATCCGCAGAGTTATGGTAATGGCGAACGTGGATTACACAAGATCGCCGTGCACGATTAAGGCTTCCGTCACACAAACAAGCTAACCGCCGCCACTTTCCGTTTAAATCCGGCCCGTTCTCCGGATTCGAACAATCGTCTATTGACCGATAAATCGGAATTAAAGATGCAACCAGATGCGCCCGGCAACGAGTTCCCGGACCCGGGGTAAATTTCGAGCCTTTCTAACGATCGCCAGCTTGCTACAGCACGAGAAGTACTTGCGCGTTGCCAAGAGGGAAAACTTGGGAAAAGTCTGTGAACGAACGCTGCCTCGGTCGATGGAATCGTAGGACATCGACTTCGTTGCAAAGCTTCGTTGCGTTCGGAATGTTGAGGTGTTCGTCTTAGTACAAGCTAAGTAGCAAGGAGAAATGAGACCTATGTATTCAGCACCTCATAGTATCGTAGTAACTTTAGTATCGTACTAACTTTATCGCAAGAAATTAGAAAAGATACCAGTCATGGGTTAGTCAACTATTCAAGGATGATCCTGTCATATGAAAAGCTATAAAGGAATTCAAAGGCCTAGAGCTAGGTTAGCGTAAAACATATTTCGAGTAACTAGTAATGCAACGTGCAACGAATGCCCTAGCCATATGTTTAAGGATGATCCTTCTACCTGTACATTACAAATAAATACAGAAGGGCAAACGTTTACATTGCGGTGCGAATCGTGCGATGGTTAGATCGGACAGGGAGAAAGCAGACCTATACGCTCAGCATCTCATGGCATCAAACGTGATATCAAGTATCGAGCTTATTGCAAGAAACTAGAAATGCAACATTTAATGAATGCCTTAGCAAACTATATAAGGATGATCCTGCCATTCGGGAAAGCTGCGAAACGGTTTAAAATACTAAGACAAACACTTACGCTGCTACGCAATCCGTGCGAAAGGGTTAGATTAGATGAGGAGTAATCAGACCTATATGCTCAGCACCTCATGGTATCAAGTATGGTATCAAGTAACAAGCTTATTGCAAGAAACTGGAAATGCAACGTTAGGTAGGTGTCTCAGCTACCTATTTAAGGATGATCCTGCCACCTGGAAGGCCGCGGAGAAATTCACAAGACCAGAGCAAACGTTTACGTGCACACGTAACGCGAAGCAATCGACTCGCCGATCATTAATAACTCGTGGGGCGCGAGGGCCAAAGTTCGTGGGACTCGGTTGCGAAATTGTCTATTAATTAACGGAATTCGACCTTGACGGGACGGAAGCCACGGTAGGGGCACGACTTTAACGACGTCTCCGCGACGCGGGTTTATTGCGCGTGTAATCGCGAGGGACACGCGGTAGAATGACGAGGAGGTGGAGAAGAGCTGCGGTCGAGGAACGAAGACAAGAGAAGGAAGAACATGTACGCCCGTGCCGACGGGTTATGCATATAGAATCGACTAATCGACCACGGTGCATCGTTCGCGGGGCCCATCGACTGACTTTATAATTTTACGACATTCCTAGACCACCCCGCCGTCTCCTGAGCCACCTCCTCGTCTGAAAGAATTTTTTCCCCCCTTGGTTCGTGGCCCAGCCGCTCCTCTCGTGCGATACTCGCTTTATAACTCCCGGTTGGCGGCGCAATATCCCACGGGCGATCCTAATCGGACGCGCAATAAAGGTCCCGTGGTAATTAACGCAGGAATGAAATTAGTTTGCCTGGCTGGCACTCGCGAAAGAAACGCCACTGTGGGAGACGCGATCCAGAGAAGGCGGGCGACCCAGACCAGATAAACTCAGTGTGAACGTTGCGATGGCGGAAAAAAGGAGCTCGACCGCGACGAATACAGTAGAATAAACGAAGGACGCGATGGTTTCTTTTGTATGTAGGTTCACGAGAAATCTGAGAGAAGTTGCACTGTTCCAGTGTTACTTTTACCTCGAGCTCGATGAAGAGAACGCTGTCTTTTAACGAATTCGCCTAGCTATAGAAATAAAAATTCAATATAAAGACCATTACTCACCCAGCCGTGGTAATGACTCCCGTCAGGTTGTCAACCCTGAACAGCCAGTTGGTCTCCTCAGCAATGGCGTACGTGATCTTCCCGTTCACTCCTTGATCGGGATCCGTCGCTTTCACGGACATCACGCTGGAATCAGGTGCCATGTCCTCGGATATCGTCACAGCGTATTTTCCCAAATGGTAACTTGTTGGGTAATTAGCTGCCGGGTACGGAAACCCGCTGGACAGACCGAAATTAGCGTAATCGCCGGCCTGATGCGTCGCGCGGGGTCGTGACTCGGTGTAATGATTCTGAATAAAAGTAGGAGCGTTGTCGTTGACGTCCAGGACGATCACAGTCAAGTTGCAGTGGGCTTCGAGACTGGGACGTCCGTTGTCCTTCGCTGATATGGTCAGGACATACTTTGAAACTGACTCTCGATCCAGGTTGGACATCGACAGCATCCCAGTTACGGGTTCCAGGTTGAATTTGGCCCCAATGTTGCCACCTGAGGACAGAAGAACAGGTGTTTTGGAGATTACAATGTTAATTGGTAATAAATACGACGGCTCTGAGGTGTTGATGTATAATACACTCTGAAACAAAGTGTAATGACGTATCTAAACAAGGAGAATCGCGCCTGGCGTCTACTCACCTACGATGGTATAATAAACCTCTCCATTCCTGTCCTCGTCGAGGTCTGTCGCCGCGATGGTGTGGATGACAGACGCTGCCTGGTTCTCTGGAACGTTCAACGTGTAACAGGAGCCTGGTCTGAACTCGGGACTGTTGTCGTTCTCGTCCATGACTAGAACTTCGAGCGTGCTGATGTCCAGCAGCTTGCTGGACCTCGCGAAGATCGGCACCGAGTAGTGCGAGGCCTCTTCGCGGTTCAAAGGTCCGCGAAGAGTCACCAAACCGCTCGGAGAAATTGCGAATTTGTTCGAGGCCACGTTCGCAGGGATGCTGAAGCTGACGTTACCTGAGAAAATGGGAGATTCAACGGTCAACGTTAAAAAGAACGACAAGTACGACAAATTTATATCTAGACCTGCAAAGAAAATGCAAAAAGATATCGATTTCTTCAGCTCTGGATCAGACAAGCCCTTCGACGCATTCGACTTTCAAATTCCAAAGGATGGCGCGTGTTTGGTCGTCGACCGTTTTTCAGAGGGCTTACAACAAAGCGACGCTTCCTCCTCTTCGCCTTGTTCGAGGGAGCATATCTGCTCGCGCGTGTACCAGTGATTCTTAACCAGGCTGCGAAGATGCCCACGCAATAGTCTTCGAAATTGTTACCAGAATTCGATGCAGGACGTAATATCAAGTTAAATACGAACACCGACGTACTTCAAATCTTCCAATCCCATTCATAGAAGAATTCTTCCGAAGAAAGAAAGATGGAATATTTGGGGGAAGATCACTCTACAGGTTTCGAAAGCTCAGACTCAAATTCCCCAAATCCTCTCTTCTCCGAGTAGCGACGGATCTCTCTTGATTCCCGGGAGTGTATCGCGACACACATGTCTCGGTTAGGTTCTGTAGATCCGCGAGGTGCAAAAGGTTAAGAACCACTGTCGTAGACGAAGCCAGAGGAACGGTAGTTACGATCGGCGAGGAACGCACACGCTCGTGGCCGGCGTAGCGCGCGCTTAGGGGTGTCGGTGTTGGTTGGAACCGGTGATTTGCCTATGCGTACCGCGGCAGGCTGGCGGCACGATGATATACGCGGCCATTGTTTCGCCTCTCTCGTCCACTCTCTCCTTCTCCCTTTTCTCCATCGTGGTCGCGGTTCCGGGGCCCCTGGCAGGACGAGTCGTCCTTCGGGGTATTCCGTAGGGACGCGGGCCCCTTTGCAGCACGGTTCCGCGGGGCGCGCTAATGCGCTCGTCTGATACACGGGCGCCGGTCTAGATAAGCGCAAAACGAGCGATATACCGTGTTGTCGGCCGTACAGAACGCTTTGCTACGAGACCGAGAACATTGGACTCTCCGCTCGCGCTTTTAGTAATCATCGTGTTCGTCGCTCGTGTTCCCTCTGCTTTACGACTGGCGACTATGCGCGCCATCCCGCCGTCGTGGATTGGACCTAGTCGTTCCGGTTGCGAAGCTTTTTTACAAGGATTCCTTCTAATTCTTTTTCAAATTGAAATCAGATCTTGGTGGAACCGTTAGAGATTGCACTGCGGTTAAACTCATCTGTGGAAGGTTTAGATCCACCTACCACTCAGAGCGCTGGACACTATCGAAAAAGTATTTGTTCCTAAAATGTCCTCGTTTCCCCTAACGAAAAGTCGCATCGTCCAACATGTGGGTGACACGCCGGCCAAGGAATCGACGATCGTTTCCAAGGAGGCATAATGGATACCAGACGCGAAAGTAGGATAACCTCGAACGAAGGACGATTATCGTTATCGCGCGCTGAAAGTAGAGCCCGATTATCCGTGTACCATGCAGCGACGGACGCATCCACGTTGGAATTTTCTCGTCCGCGGAATCCTTCGGCATCTTTTAGAGGGCGACGAGAAACAGCGTCGGGAAGGAGGCAGAAGGAGGCCTACGCAGAGTAGCTGAGCACGGTCTCGGCCGCAGCAGGGTATTCCGCAAACGTTACACGCGGATGGAACGCGCTCTCGACCCCGAGGGAGCCGGACCGCGAGTCATTTCGTTGAATTTACTATAATGCCCGGCACCGACCGGATTCAAGGCAATTATTCGAGGTATTTTCATAGCAGGGCTTTCCTATTAGCCAGGCTGGGGCATCCAACGTTGCCCCACGCCGATTATATTCCCTTCACGTGGCCGTGCAGGCGTAGGTGGCGCACACCTCGGCGAATGCTCGAGCAACGGATGATATCAACGATCCGAAAAGTAGAGGAAGGTTACCTAAATCGGCATAGGTTCGTCTTTTTCTTAAATTGAATCGTTTTCGTGATACAAATCGAGACTAATTTTACTTATTATTGGAAGAGATTGCAACAGTATGTATAGTTTGCGAGTGAGAAGATCGCATCTGACGATGACTGGAGATCGCACCACTCGTTTGTAAGGAGTTTCAGGCTCAGTTTTCAATCGCACCCTCCTGGCTAAATTTCCAAATCACGATATATAAACTCTATATATATAAACTCTACAATTACCGATCCTTGCAAAACATAGATTGAACGAGTCTTGCTCGTTGGTACAAATAAGGCGACCTTCCCCTATCCCGCGAGGAAAGGGGTTGAATGGCGAGATAGGGAAGGAGAGGAAGACTGTAATTTCTGTTCTTCGTCCGGTACAGCGCTAAATTGACAGCCCCTCCTGTTCCCTGGCACTTTATGCGCCGACGCACCACCGAAACAATAACGACGCGAGCGGAGCACCTAAAAGGGTAGCCGCTCGGTAGCCCCATTTTTGGTCCTCTCCTACGTCCTTGTCGTCCTTCGCTGTTGTGTGTGCGAGCGCGAGCACACGCGTGTACGTGTGTTGTGGGGGAGATCGATAAGTTCCGAGTCGAGCCTGGTTCGGCTTTGTCCCTTTAGCATTATCCTTGCAAGCGTTAACCGAATATACGCGACTCTCTATCTGATCATCTCGGCCGCGAGCAGTGATATACGACCATCGTTGGATATTTATCAATAAACTGACCGGTTGTAACTCCAACGGTTTTATCTCGCGTATTTAACGGGGATAAAGCGGAATCTGGAATCGGGAATCGGCGATCTTGACGATTCGCGGACCGTGGACGGCGATTGGACCGATATCGAATACGTGGCGATGATACCCAGGCAATTCAGTACGTACATAATTGAATACAGTGGAAATTTTTATTGGTCCCCTTACTGGAGGACCTCCTAGCGACTACCAAACACACTTGAACGAAATGTTGCATACACCGCTTATCATACACAACTAGTTCATCATCCTTCAAAGGGACCAAGTGAATACCCTTTAAAGGAGTAAACGTCCTGTACGCCTGATACCATTCCCATGGTCACAATTCACCAGTATCAATCCTATCGATTCGTTATCATTCCCAATCACCAACGATAGCCCTTTCGCCAAAGATACACGAGTGGAATGCTTACCCTGATCGGCGATGATAGGCCCGGTGACGTTCAGGACCGAGGAGCCAACCTGCAGGTCCTCTGATATTCTAGCTACCGGGTTGGACAGCAGCAGCCGAGGAGGTCCGTTGGTCTGGCCAGAAGCCAACGTCAGCGTCAGCCTCAGAGTGGACTTTCTCGGCGGGGAACCGTGATCGCTCGCCGTAATCTCGAGTTCCGTGGACTTCACCATCGGCTTCTCCAGGCTCACTATGCCAGACTCGTAACCCACCGAGAATCCCACCTTCTCGTTCGCCGATGTAATCACGTACGATACACGGCCATTGTCACCTGCGTCTTTATCCACCGCGACCACTCTCACGAGCGTCGCTCCTGCAACGATGCCAATTTACGATACGACTTTATAATTGAATTGCCCGTCTACGCTTAATAAATTTATCGACTATTTACCGCGGACTGCTGTATCGTTAAAATTCTATGAAATCCTCGGGTCCCTTTTGTCTCTCCCGCTATGCAGAAGCGGGGATAAGGGCGCACGCGTAAACGATGCCCGAGAATGGGTGGTACAAGGTAATTCCTTGTAGGAATATTCATCGATCCCGGTTCGAGTAATTTATTGTAATAGCGTGTAACATTTTTGAGTGTATCGGTTATTAGAAACATTAACGAAAGGAAATTCCGATGGCTCTGAATATATATTTCTTATTTTTCTATTTTGTAGCGTGATGTCAACTAAGATCTAGATCATTTAGAACAGCGTGGACCTTAGTCAATAATCAATTATTCGAGAACGTTATATTTATGGTACTCACCAGGCATGAGATCAGGCGTGACGGCGACCGTGGTGGACTCAGGCGCAACGAAAACCGGGTCGTTGTCGTTCTGATCGAGAACGATGATCCTCGCGGTCACGGTCGAGGCTAATTGCTCTCCAGGTGGAGCGCGATCGGACGCCTTCAGGATCAAAGTGTACTCTGCCCTTTCCTCCCTGTCCAGAGGCCTCGCCAACGTCAGAGCTCCGGTCAGCGAATCAACTGCGAAACTGCCACGCGATGGAAACTCGGCAACCAGCCCGTATCGAAGGTCGCCGTTCAAGCCGCTGTCCAAATCGCTGGCCGTCAGATTGTAGATGGTGGAGCCTATCATGGCTCTCTCCGACACGCGGACCGTTATGGGGTCTTGAGGCCACCGTGGCGGATTGTCGTTCGCATCCTCGATGACGATCTTCACCGAGACAGCTATGCTTTGAGGATTCCCGATCGACGTGGTGTCCAACGCGCGGATCTCCAGGTGGTAGACGCTGACGTTCTCGCGATCGAGGGAATGGGCGACCACCAACTGGCCGGAGCTCCGATCCACGTCGAACGCTGGAAACTCGCTGATGGGCGTCAGGGAATCCAGGGTGAAGGCCACGCGACCCGCGGGCCCAGCGCCCGACACCGAGCCCACTGCTTGCCCGATACTCGCGTCCTCGCGCACCTGAACGGTCATTTTTCCCAATTAGCAGGATTGTAAAAGCCACGCGGCGACAGTTTCATATCTGTCATAAAGCACGCCTCCTCGAGACGCGCATTCCCCTCGGAAAGGACATGCCACTCGGCCGGCGTCAAACCGGAGGGCATTTTTCACGAGTTCGTTGCGAGAATGATCAAGGGAAATCTTGGTTCTATGAAAGGAACTTTGACGAAAATAATTTTGAAGAACGCGCACTGACCTTTTACGTATGAATTTCAAAGATACAAGCTACAGATTCTATATAAACGAACGATTCGTGTTTCTTTTGTCACGACCCCTTAGAGTCAAGGGATTCTTCTAAAAAGACGCTAACATCTCTTGAAAGAAGGTTTGTGAAAAATGCATTCATCCCCGTTTTCGTAATGAATTACACGTGGTACTCACGTTGAAAGTAAGACTGCTGCTGGTGAAAGTCGGTCGGTTGTCCGCGAGCGCTAAAACCTCGACACTTAGCGCGCGAACGCTGTGTCGGGGTGGTCGTCCAGCGTCGGTGGCTTTTACAGACACCCGGTACACGTTTCGCTCCTCGTGATCGAGAACTGCCTTCGTTCTGATCATGCCAGTGATCGGGTCGATGGTGAAAACGTTGTAACCGTCCGAGCCTCGGTCTGAGGATCAAGGTTACTCGTGAATAACTCGAAGCCATCGAGCAGACGTAGAAAGTTGCCGTTTAGGGTAGCGGTGAACATTTATTCTTAATCAAATAACTTCAATTATCACGATTCTATTCCCGTAAGTAGCTACAATGTTTGTTATTCGAGATAGACGAACAGGTTTCGGACAATGCACCAAGGGAATAGAATTATTATCGAACGTTCGATTGCCAGACGAAACGATAGCGTTCCTCGAAAGCAGGACGAAAAAACCGGCAAGCGATCATAACGAGAAGATATAATCGCGTAACGTTCGCCGTCGGGCCATAAAATTTCAACGAAAGCCGCTCCAGCTCGACTTTTAAGACCGTGCATAATTGTTTCTGTAATTGGCTAATTAGTTTCTGGAAACGCCTCATCCAGAGCACAAAAAGCGAAGCAGATTCGGTCCCATCGATCCAAGTATAGAGTTACCTTTGAGAATGGTATAGGTTACGGAGGCATTTTCGCCAAGGTCGGTGTCCAAGGCTCTGACTCTCGCCACTTCCGTTCCTGGCGGTTGTTCCTCCCTGACGCTGACGACATCGCCTTGGGGATCCACGATTTCCGGCGAGTTGTCGTTCACGTCCAGCACAGTCACCTTCAGGGGCACCCTGGCCGCCCTGGCGGGTGTTCCCTGATCGCGAGCCTCCAGCACCAGCTCGTGCACGCTTTTCGTCTCGCGATCCAGAGGCTCCTTCGTGGTGATCTCGCCTGGAATCATCAGCGGCAGCAATTGTTAATTGGTGGCAGAGATCGGAGATATAATAATAGTCCGAGCACCGTAATACTGGAATACTGGAATGGTTCGAATTGGCCTTCAAATGACTACGAATGAAAGAAAATCACGTCATTAAAAGGAAGATTGTCGAATCGAAATGGATAAAAGAACGAACGAGCAGTTTATCTCGATTGCAATTGCGATGATATCCACATGATGAAATAGAGTCAATTAACTTTAACAACTTCTGCTCCGTTTTCCATAACACATACAAGTCCGTGGTGGATGACCTTTATGAAATTAAGATGGAAAATGAGCCGATTCGTTTCAATTACGTCTCGACCAGCCCTATGAACGATACATTCGGCACTCCTCTTAGTTATATTTTGCGTTTGATATCCGCAAGTAGGCGCGCAGGAGCGTTTACGAGCTGCGTTTATTTCAACTTCTCGCAGTGATTAGTAAAACCGCCTCCCAGAACAAAATTTATGCGGTGATTGGCCCGAAGGAAATACACTCCTAAACAAAACGACGGCGTGTAGCGAATAAATATCGTTTTAATCGAACGATCGATCGTGAACTTGATATTCTTTTAAAGAAGATAAAATCGCTAATTTAGTTTTACGATCTCATTAATTCCGTATAAATTGAGTTCATTCGTTAATAATGTTAATGTAATGCACACTTTCCTACGCCACAAATTTTCTTCCACGCCTCTCGCGGTTTTTGAGGCGTTAACGTAGAGATGTTCTCGCTATACGTGACGTTCAAAACGTCCATATGATGTCGCAATTTTCAAAAGAAAAAAGAAAAAAAAAAAAAAAGAAAACAAACAGGAAGAATGTGTTCCATCATTTTGTCCAGGAGTGTACGTGAAATCGATCCCAGAGTGGCCGTGAAAAGGGAATCGAATTATCGTAAATATCCTCGCATAAAATGGTGGACATGTCCGACAAACGTGCAGCAGGCACCGAGAGGCTAGACCGACCTTATCAATTTCCCCGGACGGGAACGGTTAATTGGATAATCGTCGTTCGTGCGCCCTAAGAAACTCCGTTCGAACGCTCGAATTCCTCGGTCGCGCCTCGACACTGGCAATCGTATTTCGTTCCTGTCCTCCTCTCGCATATTATAATCGTACCAGGGGCGTGTGTATGCAGAGTTGCACGCATAAAGACGACGACCGCGTAATTGCGTATCTTGGATGGTGGACGTTGAACGGAATATCGTGCGCATCTCGAGGATTGGTGAGGATCGATTAAGGGTCGTTCGAAACTAAACGAGACACCATTTTTATAATATAAGCTCGTCGAGAAATGGAAGCGAACCACTGTATGATTCTATACTGCCGAGGTATGCTCTCTTTCGTTTGGAAAACGTAGGTTTTCGTAAGACCTGGACGTTTCTCTGCTCACCTGATCTCATCCCTGGCACTTGCTCATCCACGGGGTTAATAAACCCGTCGAGGCATACGTGTCTCGAAAAACAGACGAAATCGCAAACAGGGGGTTGGCGAATGAGAGGAAGGAAGCGGATAGAGAGAGGCAGTTCGAAGCTGTCTGGCCGGTCGGCGCATTAATGGGTAATTAAGCAAGCGCCTAGCCGGTCGAGCAGAACTATTCCGAGATCTGGAAAAGGAACGGGATAATAATTCGTACGCCTGGCCCCGTCGGTGTTCGAATGGACACACGAGGCACCCGCGTGCCTCCACGAATTCTCGACGTACCTAGTCCAACCAGACGTGTCCACCTCGAGCAGGGAACCCCGTCGACGCGGCCGTGCTCGTCGTCGCCAAGACAAACGATCGACGAGGGACATGCAAACGCGCCGGCATCGAGGGATACCATCGCGGAACAATAAGAAGTATATCGTAGGACGCGTGCTAATGCGTTTCTCGTGTTAACCGTGGGACCGTGCGACCGCGGGCTTCTTCGTCCCCTCCGCAGGCTCGGCTCCCCTTTCCGTAACCGCGTGTGTCTCTTCCAATATTTGGAAATCCATGCTCCGCGCTGGGAAAACCCGTTTCGCGTCGCCGCGATGGAGGATTCCTCCGACTCGAACCCGGGACGCCCAGAGGAGGGGATCGGGGCAATTTCGCGGACGGCTTCCCAGAGCGGGAAGCACTCGGCTACTCTGGTTTCTGGGGACACTGGTTGCTAGGAATCTTTGTGCGCTCGGAACACTGTGCGTTTGTCCCAATAAATTTGAAAAAGTGGGTTTTATAGCGCAGAAGTAATCGAAACAGTAAACGAGGAATCCTAGTTTTCACGAATCCTGAAAGTCTGCAAACATCGGGGCTCCGTGTTTCTCCACCAAGCATGGTACTACAAAAACGACGACTTGAACTCTCCCTAATTCTCGATAATCTACGATAAAAAAAAAATCTAATGTCACAGTAATTCCCGATCCCGAGGCAGAAAATTGATTGATTCGTGGAACGTTATTTCGCTTCAGCGAGGCGGAGAAAGAAGGATTCCAGGCGACGTCGGCCGTACCGCCGAATTTCCACGTCGTCGAGCGAACAATGTGGGATCTTCCATCGCGGAAAGATTAATATAGAAGTACCCGTTCGACGGGACAGCTGATACTTCCGGCAGCGAAGGGGGGCAGAGTACGGGGGCTCCCTTCGGTTATTCTTTTTCCTTCGCTGCCAAAGCTTCGAGCCGAGGATGACTGGAGGAGTTCCACCTCTCTCTGCAAACAGGCAGCTCGGTGAGACTTCTCCCGACGGATACCGGAGGAAGAGACTCGGCTGGTCTCGAACCAACATGTACACAAATACTCTCGTGTCGCATGCCAATCAAACCACGTATGGGCCAGGCGTACGAAAGGGAGACGAAGAGGCAGATAGAAGCGGTCCGCTCGTTTCGCGGTGCTTGCTGAACCCGGGCCCTTTCTGGTGATTCGTTACACGCCGGCCAAGGTGAAAGAACCACTCTTACGGGATTACACTTTGATATCCACGAAGCAGGGGAGATGTTACAAAAACGAAATAATCGCGCCCCATCGTCCACGTATCCCCGATATTGCGTTGTACGGTCCTCCAATTAAAGGCATTCGTATCAAAAATAAATTTACGCTCGTTCCTCTCTTCTTTTCTTCCGTGCGAGCGTGTGCGTGGTTTTCTTTTTTCGTTCCATACCTTCGTCCGATGCCGCCATAAATCTTGAACGCGGTCTCAGCGCTGAGATGAAGTAGAACCGAGCGATAGAACGTCGTCGGTGTCGTCGTCGTCGTCGCGTGGAAGTCGATTTCATTAGAGGTTTTCGAGGACTTACGAAACGCGAAGATGTATCGAGGGATTTCGTGTCGCTTACTTCTGTACCGGGTTGCGCAATACCGAGGAAACGGTGTTCAACAATGGCGAGGAACATCGTGGTTCTCCGATTGACGCAACAGCGACGCGTAAATTAACAGCGTCGACGGTTGGTGGGCTATTTGGAAAATTAATCGCCTCTTCCTCGCCTCGCTCGGCGCGGCGGTCCGCTCGAATTCAACTCGAATAGATCATTTTTTTCCCAACGAGACCTAGACGCGTCGAGTGCATTCCTTTTCCCAGGGGACCACAAAGAAACCACGGACCGGTGCGCGATGCCATAAATTTTGTTGCGAGTACATCGTTTAAAGTACGAGACGCTCCGAGAACGTTTAAGATTGGGGGCCTGTAAGACGTTTCTTTGTACGTAGTTTTTGAAATGGAATATCTACCATTTATCTTTATTCTATGAGGCTAATAGAGATACTAATAATGTTTAATCTGGTAGTGTCTACTATCTTTTTATAAGATGCCGAAAAAACGTGCAAGAGACTTCGCGGCAGGACTAAGCAAACCAAGCGCCGCGCTCAACGGCGGCGGCGCGCGTTAATTTCGTCGAGGATCGACCGTCGAAGTGGATTCGCTAATATTTTTCTCGTCGACTCGAATTGCGCGTGGGATCCTCGGCTCTGATCTCCTCGAGGGCCCGGCAACGGACAGCTTTCGTAAACACTCATGAGCGTCGTTTCGAGCGCGCACGACGACCGGATATGGCAAACAAAAAAAGACACCGCGGAAGAGAAGAAAAATAAAGCAAAATATTTGGGAACAGCCTTTCAATTTACACGCGTTTCTCCCTGCTACAGCGTGGAAAATAAACTTCCGCGATACTCTCATCGGCGATTATAACTTCTGTACAAAAGTATAAAGCTTCCTTACCTGTATCAGGGTCGACGGTGAAGCTGCTGTTGGCCTGGACCACCGCGTACCTGAGGAGCGCGTTCTTCCCCAGATCGGGATCGGACGCGCTCACGGATCCCACCAGAGTCCCCGAGGGCAGGTTCTCCAGCAACTCGTAGCCGTAGAAGTCTTTCTCGAACCTGGGGTCGTTGTCGTTGTCGTCCAGCACCGTCACCAGGACCGACGCGCTCGCCGTGGCGGCTGGCGAACCGTTGTCGGTCGCGAGAACCGTCAGGGCGTGACGATCCAGGGTCTCCCGATCGAGAGTCCGCGCCAGATTGATGCAGCCCGTGTTCGGGTTGATCCAGAATGCGGAGGATCCTTGAAGACGGTAACTCAACCTCGCGTTATTGCCCGTATCAAGGTCCACCGCGGTCACTTGAAGGATCTGTCGGACAGAAACAAGCTGTTTTACGAGCGTGTTTTTCGGCCCGGTGACTCGCTGGAAAAACGAGTACGACAATTACACAGATACTTTCGACGTTGGATGCGGTCGAGGGGCGCCGGAATCTGAATTTCTGCGACGTGTACGTTTCTCGTGGGGTACCCAAAAGGAATAAAAAAGAAAAAGAAAAACGAAACAAATAACCCGGGATAGGGAGATCGATGAAAAAGAGGGCGGCGAAGAGAGAAAGGCGGCGGGGAGACGAGATCAGTCGATCCGGTCGTTTCGTATTAATTAAACGCACTCGGAGACCGTGAATCGTATGTGTGCCGGAAGTGGTCGAGGCTCGAGGGATGGAAACCACCCTGGAAACTGGAGGATTCGAAGGATTGTTTAGATACTCGAACGCAGGTGTCCGAATGCAGATTTCTGGAAGTCATCGGATGGCACCTCGGATTGTACTGTGAACTGTTCCTAGCGAATGTGCACTTTCCGTAAAGTAATCGGGGAATTTTACGGCGACATACGCTTTAAATTTAAGACTTGCATTCACCTCGCGCGACCTAGGACGGGCGCAATTATGCAAAGGGCACATCGTCCAGGAATTTCTGTTGAAAGAAAAGTAGAATAAATCGGCTGGCTAGGCAGATGGATGAAAAAGAGGGCGTCGGATAGGCAGACGGAGAGAGAGGCAGCATCCGCGAGGGGACAAGACCAGTCGATCCGGTCGCTTCGTATTAATTAAACGCACCCAAAGACCGCGAACCCTAAACGCATTCGAACCGGTCGATGTTTTCCAGCGCGGGAGGATCGTGAATTACGGAGGTCGAAGAAGAAGAAGAAGAAGAAGAAGAAGAAGAAGGAGGAGAAGAAGAAGAAGAAGAAGAAGAAGAAGAAGAAGAAGGAGCGTAGGATCGAGGGTATATAACTTCACGTATCTCGTGCACGAAGCTGGCGCGCGGGCAATGATGGATGGCGAACGAAGGCAGAGAAAGCGAGCGCCGCGGAAAGAACGAAGCTGGACGAGGATGGCAAATGATCGGTCGTCGTCAGCGAGGAGGAAGGACGGCGAGGATGGTAGGGAAGGGGGGTAGATCCAGCACCATTAGAAGAAGAACCTGACGTGGGAGCAGGCTGTAATGTGTCTAACTGTACGTTATTAGTTCGCTGCGGGTGAAGGGTTACGCTCACTGTAGCCAGGTTACTCTTGCTAGCTGCTACTTCCACTCCCCTCTGATCTCGAAGATTCTTTCTCTCCTTGTCCCTCTCGCCTCCGCCGCTGCTAAGATATTGTCCGGATACCACCGACAGCTCACAGATCTGTTTCGCCGATAGATACCACCGATATATACGTGTATACCGGGGGAGAAAGATGGAACGAAAGATCGAGTGGCGAAGGGAAGAAAGAAAGAGGCAAGCGCTCGGAACGTGCGGTTCTCGTCGTCGTCCGGGCTCTATCGTACCCTCGTGTATCCGTTGTATTAAAAATGTGACGTCATTTAACGGCCCTATCTCGCGGCAACGATCTCGCGGCCATTCGTCATCGGTATCCTCCGTATTCGGGATTACGTCCACCGGTGGCTACCAACGCGAGGAATCGTTGTTCGTCGCTCGTACCACCGGCTAGATAGCGCTTCCTCGATGATGAACGCGTTCACGACCGCGTCGCGGCTAATGACTCTTTCCTGACCTGTTTTCATCCCCACCCTCCCACGTTACACGGAATGCAACGAGCCTGACCGATCGCAATTACGACTTAAGTCGTCAGCCGTTGATTGCAATTGATTTTTTCAGTCGCGGAAATCTATCGCTCGCAGCGGTGTTCTTTCGAGTTCAGACTAACGAAAGGCTGGATTGGATAAAAAGACGTTCTTAATCGAACGATCGAATCTTCTCAAAGCTTTTACGGAGAGGTTTGGAAAGAGCCTGATGATGGGTTGAAAAGCAGAGGAATACAAAAAGCTAAATTTAAATTACGCTTTCAGTACAAGAGACGGTGACGCAAACCTTTTCTAACGTCTCGCGAATTACGTCATATCCAAGTCTCATAAATATCGACGGTATCGAATGTAAGAAGATCGGCCGCGAAACGACCCGCAATCGTTTCCAAAGCTGTTGAACGGTGCCGGTGTAACCGGCTGACAAGACGTTTCGCGAAGCCGCGTAAAGGCTTCGTTCGTTTCCCGGCTGCCCGTAATTGTGTTTAGCCACGATAAATAACCCCTCTACTAACCAGCGAAGCCTGTTCATAAAACGAGCAGCTGCATGCCGCGTTTCTGTTGAGCCTATCAACGATTACCTATCAATCCCGTGCATCCCGCGCCGGTACGAGTGTACACCTATATCGCGTTACAACACGCCGCGTTCCTATATCAAACTATCAGTTATTCTCTATCAATCCCTCCACCGAACTGGTCTGTCTGGTAACCGTGCAATCCGCGTCGGCTAATCTCTCGCGAGCTGCGCGCCCCGTACAGCTAATTCGTTTCTGTTCTCCGCTGACAAGGTTGAACTCGATGAGTCAACGTCTTCTTCCTCTGGTCGGTTACGGGCGGGTAATCGACGCGGAACGGACCGAATTAACTGGCAACAACCTTCTTGGTGAACTCTTCCGGTGGCAGTTTAGACATGACGCTACAGGAGATAAGGGATGAATGATTATTGGTGATCATTGGTCCTGAATATGGCAGAAAGTATTCGTTCATGTTAGTTCTAGGACAAACTGAAATTGAGGCCACTACGGATTTTTTATATTTGAATTTTTAGAACACTCGGAAACACTGCAAAAATGTGACCAACGTTAAAGAGGAACCGAGAGGTGGCGGAGGGACGCAAAGAGAGTGATAGCGGTCAGATCCCAAGAGGGAGCAAAGGTTCATCGCGGCTAGTCTTCCTGGTTGTCCCGCTGGATGAAATTACGCATCGCAAAGACAACTTTGAGGAACAAAAAGGTTCGAACACGCGGGAGAGAAAGGCAGGAACACCTTAGGAAGGTTGTTAACTTCCCCTCCCCTCTGTCCCCGTTCCGATCCAGAATCTCTCGTGGCGTCTTTTTCTTCGGCACGCTCACGCACACCCCCGCACCCCGCGAAAGGGAATCCTACCGCCACGTCTCCACCACAAAACAAATGCCCGCGTGACGGGCGTGTAATGAAGATTTTTCTCACTTCGGAATCGAGCTTGGCGCCTTCGGGAACCTCCACGTGATACTCGTTCCTCTCGAACACTGGGGGGTTGTCATTCACGTCCTGCACCTCGACGCTCAGGCTCAGAGTCGCGGAGAGGCCAGCGCCGTCCAGCGCCCTTATCAGGAGCCCGTGCCTCTGCTGGGTCTCGTAATCCAATCTTCTCGCTAAATAGAGCTCCCCCGATTCAGCGTTTATACCGAACAGTACAGCGGAGTCGTTGCTGTTCTGACCAAGATCGTTGTTGTTCTGACCAAGGTCGTTGCTGTTCTGATGAAGGTCGTAGCGTATCGGCAGGGGTGGAGTAGTGTCAGGATCGGTCGCGTGGGCCACGTACAGGGCTGTGTGAAGGGGGTGCGACTCCGGCACCGAGATGCGCACACTGGTCGTTGGGAACATCGGGGGATTGTCGTTCGCATCCTCCACGTTCAGCTCCACCTGCGACCGAACACTCGGGTTATAAAGAATTCGTCAAATGGAATCGCTTATCCTTTCCCTACTTCGATGAATTACCTTTGAAAATAAAAAGAGAGGCATCGTTGGTAATTGAGTAATTGAAAAATGAAACGTTCGATATCGCCTCTTGTACACGAATCGTTTACGTCAAAATCATCCTTTAAATTTGTATGAAATTACCTTCTTCGCGTAGACTGTTATTAAGATTCTTCTCGTTACCGAGGTCTATCTAAAGATAACTTTTCGAACGATGCTCACCTGACAGTAGCCCACCGAGACACCGTTGCGCGCCATGACGCTCAGAATGTACTTGTCACGGGTCTCCCTGTCCAACGGATGCCGTATTCGAAGCACTCCCGTGTTGGGGTCCATTGTTAGATCCTGTTCTTCCATTACCAAAGAAAATCTCGTTGGCAGTTCACCTGTGAACACAGTTATTATCGTTATTAAACGTCTACGAGTGGCTTTTTTACGTGCCTTCCTTTTAAATATCGTTACACGAACGACCGTCGGAAGCTCGAATCTTCGATGAAGGTAGATAGGAGTTCGGACGATGGGCGATGCCCGAGGAAGCCTCGTATTAATTTTTTTCCTCGACCTTTACCGAACGGAGAGTTCATTCGTATTCTTAAACGGAACGCGCTCTCCCTCGCGAGAAAAAAGAGCGGAAACGAAGAGGGGAGCGGGAGGGAGGGGTGGGGGTGGGGGATGAGGAGAGTGAGGGGGAGGGGGGGGGCGGAGGGGTGGACGGCTGAAAGCGCAAAAATGACGAAAAAGGTGACGGGACACTGTATAAGCAGGTTGCTCGTTAATTACAACCTCGGCTTGTTCTCACGTGTATATTTTGCTCTTTTAGCTGCTTCCCCCGGCGCGCAAATTGCACGAAAATTTTCGTAATCGCCTTCGAGAACGATTCCTCGCCTCGAACGGCATGATCGATTGAATCGAATGCGCCGCGATCTCGCTAAGCACCGTCCCGCGAGAAACGCATCGCACGCATACGCCGCGCGCATCATCCTTCAACGATCCCGCCAATTACCGTGCACCAGCGCGCCGCGCCGAGAATTCGAAACGATCGTCCTCTTTTGACTGATTTCCGCGAGAGTGGCGCCAGACAGATAGACGTAGGAAATGACGGATGACCGATGGAGAATGTTTAAATGAAAACGAAGGCTCTTCGACAGGCGTCGTGAAGCAGGGACGCGCAACGCACCTTGTACTTGCTTTCACGTCGAGACATTTAACGCGGTTCGGGACAAGGTTGAGCGCTTTTTCTCAACGATACATTTTCAAAGAGTCGACAATGTAGAGCTCGGAGGATTTACCAACACATACAGCGTAGCAGAGGTTTATTAAAAATGATCCAGAGCGCAATTGCATGATGAATGGCGGCGAGGAACGTGTTCCGTGCATAACGATTGCCGTTCCCCGTCCGCCCACGATCGACACGCCAAGAACCGCAAAGATGTTCCCTGACGGCCGCGAAACCACGCGGAATCCCACGTGGTATATTGTTCTTGCGTCAGACTTCTAGATCGTCTCTGTTTTTGCACGCGCTATTGATCGCTCCGGAGAACCGTTACCGCTTTGTCTTCGCGATTACCTCCGCGAATATCTTCGTGACATTTACCGGGGGGCTCGATTGATCGGTCCTTTGTTACGCGGGGCGATCGTTAAGACCTGCATTTTTCCATGCGGCTTTTGATAATGGACAGCGCGAGTAACACAAGCATCATCTCACCAATTACCAAAAACTATTCAACTCTTCCATGCGAAGAACTTAAAATTTTAATCACTGCAACCGGCTGCCTACGACTATAGATTCATCATCAACGTTTATCGTACTCCCGATCTAGAGGATATCATTATCCTTGGCCAATAAATATCTATCCATCTGTCTATCGCAGGCCAGCCGCTATCGCGCGGAAAAAACTGCGGCCAGTTGTTGTCTTCGTTCCGTACAGAACATCTGGTACGTACACGCGTACGACGTGGTACGTCTTTCCCCGAGAAGCACGTCGATAATTGCTCTCCTCGATCGATCGCACTTCGATCCAAAACGGGAGAGCGCGTGTGTATACTCCGATACCATCCACCGCGGATGCGTTTCGACAAACGCCTCGGATCTACCGCGTCGAGAGCGTCTCTCCCATGGAACCGATCGAGTTTTTCCAAGCCGGGAAAAACCTGATAGACGTTGCCGAGCGGGCACCGCCTCCGTGGGTTTACGTGGAAGGTAGCCGCGAGCCATTTCCACGGTACTCGACGACGTCGTCCACGTCGCGACTATCGAGCATGGCCTCGTCCCTGACATCCAACGATACCGATCGCCTCGACCGTAAAGATGGTACGTACTCGACTGGGAACGTGGATGACATAATTTATGGGTCGCCTATTACGCTCCAGTTTACTTCCCTCGCCTTACGTCTCTTCGATCGAATAAGGTTATCCGATGTCTCAAGGTCGAAAAGTGGGTAATGCTTGGGTTTTTTTTTAAAAAAGGTACATGTGACATATTAAAACGAGACTTCTTCTGTCGAGTACTATAAACTTTACTGTAAGATTCTTTCAGATTGCCAGGCTTTCCAGTACCTCGCGAAAGATCAGAACACACGTCCCGTGTACCGTTTGCTCGCCCAGCTTTAATAAGCATATTTAAAGGGCCATGAACCGCGACAGATGAAATTAATACCGAGGCTCGCGGTTCGTACGCGCCGGAGTATGTAACGTTCCTCTTGGACGAGAGTTTAAACGACGCACGCACGCGTTACGCTTGTAAGCGCGAGTATTCGCCTTCTGTACGGCTACCACGAACCGATATCGATCTGGAGAACACATTCGAGGGTACGTGCACGACGCACACGCGCAGTCCGAGCCGAAACTTATGCTTACCGGCTGCATCGATAGCCGTGTTATTAAAATTGTTGTAAACTCGTCCGCGCGCGGGTAAATGCAGCCCCGCGCGTACGTGCACGTCGATTCGGGGAACAGCGACGAGGATTCGAGCGAGCAAATGTGAGCGGGTTCGTGCGAACTTACGCATCGTCGGGTTAAACAATAAAATTGCCTCAACGTTGTACGATTGCGTTGTTTGCAAATTACGACGTGATTATTGAGCTTGGCTTGGTTACGCGCGTGTTGCACAATGCGATGCGGAGGGATGCTATTCTTGTACTACATTTTTCTTTGAATGTAGGACTCGTAGTTTAAGATTACATCAGGGATGTACAACATGTGGCTGCTTGAAAATGATTTACGTCATCGAACAAGGTACTTTGCTGGCAATGTAGCGCATTCTGTCGGTAAGCAGAACAAATTTCTACATTATCGATCGTGCGTTCTAGATTGTTACATCGTACCGACAGACCATCCTACGTTACCAACGACAAAGTGGTGTATGTTCAGCAAAGTTGTATAGATAGTGTAGTCGAGAATTATTCGAAAAACAAACGAGAGAATGATATTTGATCACCTCCTACCACAATGTCCATTTCGCGAGTTGAGATTGTACGCCTTTCAGGTACAGAGTTGTAAACTAGCGCGCGTACGCGATCGCGGATCGCGACGCAACCGCAGAAGAGGGCACTGCGGGTTCGTGACTAGTGGTAGTGAGATCATCGGTGCAAAAGAGAGAAACAGACGAACACGCACATCGACACGCTGTACCTACACCCATCGGCATTCGGTACCCGTGTTATTAAACGTCCGCATGATCTTTTTCCATCGACTCTTGCCGCGAGAGGAGGGTCCACCGATCCTGTACTACTCACCGTGTATAATTACGATTTACTTCGCATCCCAATACGGCAAAATCGTCCGCATGTCCGTGGCGATTCCCGAGCATCGAACTGGAAACGAGATTGCCATGGCCGCGCGGATAATCGTCGCCGCGTTTCAAACGGCATTATAAACAAACGCGATCGCACCCTTCGCGCCCACCTATTTATCGATAATCGTTAAATTATAATTGGCCTCTTGGGCAAACTTGGACAATTTCGTTGCAGAAATTTTATTGCGTTTGGCGAACGGCAGGATATTGACTTTGAGCGTATTAGAGGAAACGGGGAGATTAGACTTTCAGACCGCTTCGAGGGCAGCTGAAACCACGCATGAAAATGCCGGGACTGACTCGAACCGGGTAGAGGAAGAAATTGCTGGAGACGTTGTTAAGGATACCGCTATGGAAGAAGAATCTCATAGCGAACTGAACGAGCCACGGGAATCTACAATCGAGAAGCAACTTCTTAGAGAGTGCATCGATGCAGTGATCAATTATGTGGGTTCCTCAACAAATCAGGTATTGCGAGCATATTCTACTTAAAGAACAGCCGAGGTCCCTACTCGGACAGTTTCTTCAAACATTTAGAAACGAGACACTTCCTCCCCTTTCCAAATAACGAATGAATGTATCCTAACTTTTATTTATTTGTATACTTTGAAAATTAATGTTTATGAGACGGTTAACTTTGCCCGACCAATTATAAGTGTCACTTGATCTGTATCAGATTCCCACCCTCGATCGTTGCGGATGAAGAAGGTATCGCTGAACTTGCATACGTCAAAAGCAAAATTCCCTCTGACCGTTTATCGAGGGAATAAATCGCGATCCGTGCGCAGTCGGTGAACGGGTTTTTCACCCGCGGTGCCGACTCGAGAGGGCTTCGTCACCCCGGTTACACAGGCGTCCCTCCGGGGTGCCCACGTGGGTGTAACGAAGACAAATCGCTCGCGTATTTGATTAATTTGCGGAGATCCTCGGTCCAGTCCAGTCCCTCGAAGCCCTCGTAGCCCACGTCTGACCACCATCCTCCTCATTCCCCTGTTTTCCTTGCCTCTGTCTTTCCGCTGTCTCCTCTTTCGCGAGCTCTCGACTTTGAGCGTCGTGGATCGAATAGAGAGCGACTTTTTGCCATACCCGCCCATTACACATTCTCGCCCTTTCGTGTCCTCCTGGTCCGCGCAGGGAATCGAGGGAAACCCTCGAGAAACTCACCCCCGTTAAAACGCGTTTCGTTCTAATCTTTCGTATTGCTTCTGGTTCCAAACTAGGGGTGAAGTTACGTGTCGAAATATTTGTAATTCGAGGAGAGTGAGTTTTATGGAGCCTTTCATTGCGTAACTACCCCTTCTGGGATGTTAACTCCGAGGACATCAAACTACAGGCTGTAATATCATGAGCTAGTAGAAATCGTTAAGAGAAAAACTATTGTCCTGTTTGATCTTCTATCTTTATTCAGACCAGAGCAAAAGCCAGTGTCGGAATCATCCCGTATATTCAGCGATCAAAGGGTTAATAGAAAGCTTCGGCGAGGAGTCGTGTTCCGTGTCCGATCGCGTTGCACTCGTTCCGCGAACGGGACTCCACCAGGACGCGGGGTATCGTATTAAAGATGCGTATCTGATCAGTCCCCGTAATTTTTGA